AACATTGTAAAAATAAATGTATTGAAAAATACATAGTTACTGCACAATGGTAAAATCTGCAATTTTAACGGAAATAGTTATTTGTGTAACCAGTGTGCGAAGTGGCGTGTGGAAAGTTTCCCGAGTGCAGCAAAGGCACTTTGCGCTTGTGTTACACGTTATATTTTTCCTACAGTTATAAAGCATAGGCTATAAATAATTAGTCTTTCAAAATATTATACAACACTTTTTTAGGTTATTTTAAATACAAGCGTTGAACGAAATGGGTATAAACGCTGTACCAGCTGATCGTAGTTGTAGTATATTAAGTGTTGCCAGCTTATTTTCAAGCGTACACGTATTACTTGCCTAATAAAAGTACACTGGTTTGTGTTGTTTGGTTGGAATACTGGAGTGCGGCAAAAGAAGAGTGAGTGCGGCAAAAGTAAGTAGGCCTAAATGGGGCAGCAATTAACTACTTTGCGTGCTATAATCAGTGCAAGGGAACCCACTTTGTCAGGTAACTGTAGGAAAAATATTTTATTATAGTTTTGTATAAATATATAAAAAAATACCCATGATCGTTGATAAATGGGTAAATTTGAGAAAAAGAACAGTCCGAAATTGAGAAATGGGTAACTAATGGACTTTGCTGGTGCAGTAATACAGAATAACAAAGGAGTCACTCGTTTTCTGTGATAGTATGAGAGGAGTTACACACATTGAACACGAAGGGAAAATATGAGGCAAAACGAGTGCAAAACGGGTAGATGAAATCAACACTGAAAAGTTATAGGAAGAAATACAGATGTGATTCAGAAAGTAACGTAAGGACGGAAAATGAGAGTGAATTGAGAGAATTGTGTACGCAGTAAGTACTAGATATCGTCCAGTGGTCGAAAACTCGACCAAAAATATGTACAGTAATAGAATTCTCTATTTTCATCGCACACCTTCAATACAACATGTGATTGGAATTTCTTCCATTTGTTTTGATTTGCTGTTTATATTGCATTTTTATTTCGTCACCAACATGACAACCCCAAGGTCCCTGATATTTTTTTTATTTTAATTTAATTTTTTCTTATTTTTGAGCTTATTTTAATTTATGAAGGGATTCTGTACATGTACAGGAAAATATCTTTCCAGTAGACCTATGCGTAGATTTTCCCTGCGATGCACACGAGCTGAGAAAAAAGGTTTTAAATTACATGCTTGCCTATTAATATATTCATTCTATATCACATGAATATAGAGAGTAGAGGAAAATTTGTATGATTGGAAATAATATTATTTTTATTTTACTGATGCTGTGAGTAAAGTACGTAAAAATAAGTGAGAACGAGGGAGGAGATTGAGAATTAGTATCGCTAATAAGACAATTCCACGTTTCAAGCGTTTTCTACTTACACCCTGTGTTTTCCTTTCATTTCAACGTTATATACTTTACCTGCTAAAACTCTCTAACTGAAATTACATTTCAGTTCCAATTTATAAATCACGTTCTTTTTTTAAATTATAGTCAAAAATTCAAAGCAGAATTGTATGTATAGTATACATGCGATTGAAGAATAATATAATTCTTATTTTGTCATCTGAATGAATTAAAGGACAAGCAAACAGGAGCCTACAACTTGTGCAATACAACTGTATCTAAACAACATGTTTGAGGAAATATAAATGGGTCTCTTTCTCCCCATGAGGGAGTCGAAAGGTTTAGTAAACGTTTTATGTTTAGAAATCTCCATTGGCATTAGATAAAACACTTATCGTAAAAAGCTACCTACATCAAAATTGACGTCAAAATAAATTTGGTGACGCTTCCCGTTCTCACTTTAATTACGTTGTATCTGTTTACTTTGCATGTATTTGCAGATCAAATTAAACAATGTAATTTCATTCGATTGGCCAATCTGCAGTTTAATTATATCGGGAGTACATTTACATAAAGCATTAAATGTTACTACATGCAAAGACGTTTGTAATTTAAAAAATCAAATTGTACTTGTGTTGGAAACGTAAAGGTATGGGAGTGATGTATGTTTCATTAAATTTTCTTGGCAGCTATTACCTACAGTGTATAATTTGGATTGACGAGTTTAAAAAAATAATGTAACTCTTTAATTTGAAAAGATAAACTTATTTAAGAGTGAATACCTACTTACTTTCAAGCCTCTACTTATATTTTGATGTCCAATAGATCCAAAAGAATCTAAATACCTTAATGTAGCAAAAACATCAATAACTTAATATTGATGCTTCATGAAATAGTATATTACGCCACACTACATTATTTTTAAAAACTTCCCACGCAAGGATTTAGTCCAGAAAACAGCTGTTTGCCGCCAGCTTATTCAAATGGGGTTTCATTGCGTACTACTGTACTGCAATGAGTTTTACCGGACACCAATCACCTGATTATACTGTATTTAGGTGGCAGTGAGTGGCTATAAATAAAAACATAACCTCTCTTAGAGGTTATGACTAGTGATTTTTAGTAATTTAATTGGTGGAAATATATAAGGATTTGTACGGATGTAGTAGTGTGCCGTAAACTATCGTACGTAACTCGTTCAAAATGTGTGTACCGGACTCGTATGGTAATCCCGTACTCGACTTCGTCTCGCACGGGAACGACCACACTCGTCCGGTAAACACTTATTTTCAGGACTAGTAACGTAATATACTATTACGCCACACTACATTATTTTGACGCCCCTTTGTACTCGCCTTTGTCTTGCATGGGAACGACCACACTCGTCCAGTAAACACCTTTTTTCAGGACTAGTAACGTAATATAACCTACTATTACCGTAATTCTTTAATTTTAGTCAAGCCTCTTTACCTGTAGCTTACACAAATTGTGATCAATATTCTACAGAACTCGTACAACCTCTCTTTAACCACTAAATAACACAAATTTCTTCAATGCAAATAAAGCATCACAAACATCTTTTTTGAATAAATAAACAAACACCAGTTAATTGAATCGACCAGTTGTTTCATTTAATTGATTAAATCAAAGCATTCTTTTGGGTGCATATGCAAGAAGTATCCCTTTAGAAATCGGCCTGTGGAGCAGAGCCCTGGAAAAATGTATTCGTTCATACCAGGTGTGCTACTCCTATCATGCTGACTATCCTATCTGGCTGACGTCACCCAGATTGCAAACAAAAAATCACCTGATTGTAACTGCCATATAAGTATATATTTGTTTTGATTTGATTGTTATTGTTTTTTTTTGTTTTTTTTTAATAGTGTAATAGCGTTTGCAATCTTGGTGACGTCAGCAGTGACGTGATAGCACCATCGATCTCTATTAATAATAGAGATCGATGGATAGCACACCTATGTATTTTCCGTTCATACCATACCAATACAAATCTACAAATCTACACACTAGCTTCATTTTGATGTGTCATATGCCTATATTTTTATTTGGTAAAGACCTTAAACGATTACCACAAAAGTGAGTGCATCACATTAATAATATAATTATAATAGATTGCATAAAAAATATACTACATGTAAGAACAATGTGTGCGCCTTCAAATGTTTTACCGGGCATTGATTCATGCTCCAAGTTATGTTTGCATGTTTATGTAGGCTACCTATCGTAAGTAAGTTACTGTTAAAAGAATCTAGTCAATTTATTTGAAATTAAGGCCCAGTTAAATGCTTCTAAAAACCTTAAAGATTTTAAGGAAGCATATTTTGATATAAATAAACATTTAGATAAGTATATTTTTTAGAATTTTTCAGTTTTTACTTTTTTGTTAAAAGAGTATAAGTAACAGGCTGTTAAATCTATAATAATTATCCGTAAGAAACATCCGTTTATTTTTGTTTGTTTTGTAACCCTCTTAATTGAATCGGCATTTAAATCACTCTCTGGTTTAATTGCACTACGCCAATTAGTGAACAGGATGTTGAATATTGGTTTAGTAAACCCGTAACAAAATTAAAGTCAAAATCCATTACCATGAGTAATGTGAGTGGAACCAATGGGATGGGAGAATATTCGCAACAGTGGTTATTATTTACGCAACTATGAACACTGTTTATTATTTACCTTTATTTTACAATTTTGGCCTATAGATATAAATATTTTGACAAAACTCAATATTCAATATGTTTAAACCGCTAAAGTACCTGCACAACTGTTTATTTTCATTGAGTCTTCTTGGGACAAAAGATGTGCTTACAGTTTAGTGTTATAACGTTTCAAGAACTTGTTATACTTCTCTAAAGTTACAAACCAAAGTTTCCCAGTCGGTGACCCCTTCCATAGCCTGGTCTGGGTTATCCTCCCACCGTGGACTTACCAGTAGCTACTCTCTGGTTTTATGTGTATTTAAACTGTTATTAATTTTATTTTATGTCAACATTTAATTGTTGAATTTGAATAGTAAGGGCGGAGTATTTTAAATTTAATCTACGATATAATACACAAACATGCATTGTCTATCTATGACAGGGCCACCTTTGGAGCCGAGACAATGGAGGTATATGCCAATGTTTTAGATTAAAAATTATGTTCACTTGGTGTAGTCCATAATAAATTTCTGGTTAATATAAATTCTGGTTTTGAACAACACCAATTGAATTTACCTTAAGTGTAAAGGGACTTTTCGGCCACTATGTATTTCTGTAAATTTTTAATGGAGTCAATATTTTCATATCCCGGTAACGGCATTTACTGTATAAACACTAGTGTTTATATAGTCAATGGTAACGCGGTAACCAAGCTTTCGTATTCTAAAAAACACAAATACAAATACAATTAATTGGCTGCCCCGGTGCCCCCAAACAAAACCGTTGTTACAAAATTACTTGTCGCAGCGGAGTTAAAGGTGGCCCGGTGGCCGTGATCTATGGTGATATTAAGATTGTCCGCATTTTCCTATGTTCTGCCTTTTACTCAGCTGTGGAGGTGAATGTAAAAAAGGTCTGACTGTCTGACATTTTTTGTTATCGTTTCGTTCGTTCCTTCACCTTCGTTTCGGTGTTGTTATGTGTAATTATCTTTCAGAAGAATGGTTTTATTATAGGTTATTAAAGTTATACCAAGAGACTGTGCGTTCTATGTTGCCCAATGTTTTGTTTTAGGCTATATAAGGAATTCATGTAAGTTTTCCTAGAGCAGTATTATTTAGACTCATCAACATGGTAAACATTTTCCCAATCATGTTCCCGGCCAAGATTTCAAGATCGCTATGTATTACCGGTACCAGGGCACAACCAATTTGTTTTAACGCTATAAGACAATCTTCAAACCACTCACTTGTTGCCGAGAAGGATGTAAGAACATCCCTAAAAGTCAACAAGAAACCTTCAAAGCCGCCATTCATGAAAAATGTTTTCTTGGGAATTTATGATAAAGACATGTTAGTTTACCCTGAGTTGGATAAACCAAGACTGCAAGAGCTAAAGAAGCGCATGGAACCTGTTAAAAGTTATTTCAAAAGTAATGTTAATCCTGAAATTCTATCATCATTGAAGATTATCCCTAATGAAATCAGAGAGAGCTTGAAACAACTTGGACTCTATGGACAGTCAATCCCAGAGAGCTATGGGGGTTCTGATCAGACAGCCACAGAAACAGCTTATATTAATGAGGTCATTGGTAACGATATTGACATTGCTTTGACATTATACTCCCACAATTTCCTTGCTACTCAAAGTATACTTATGTATGGAACTGCCCAGCAGAAAGAGAAGTATCTACCCTTATTGGCCACAGGAGAGCTCACAGCAGCATTTTGTATGTCAGAAAGCATCAGCAGTTCTGATCTTGCATCTTTATTGACAACGGCTGAGCCCAATGAAGATAATCCAGACATGTACCTTGTCAACGGTAAGAAGCTATGGGTTATTAACGGAGGCATTGCTAATTTATTTATTGTGTTGGTGAAATACAACTACAAATCGCATCATGGGAAAATGGTTCCTCTTGTTCGGTTAATGATAGTTGAACGAGAATATCCCGGGATTACAGTATCTCCACCCAAGGAGCACATTGGTCTGAAAGCGTCAAATATATGTGAGGTGCACTTTAACAACACTCCTGTTCATAAAGAAAACTTTATTGGGAATGAAATGCAGGGATTTGAAATGTGTACTCAAGTGTTAAGTAGTGGACGGTACAACATAGGTGCAATAACAGTTACTTTACTTAAAAACCTACTAAGTACAGCCTGTTCCTTTGTTATCGATAGAAGACAGTTTGACAGACAATTGATTGATTGTGAAAGAATTCAGGATAAAGTGGTTGAAATAGCTACTCGTATTTACACACTAGAGAGTATGACCTACCTTACAACTGGTATTCTAGACACCTATGAAAGTGCTGATTGTTTGCTCGAACTTGCTATTATTAAAATATTTAGCTTTACTGAAGGACGATATGCTTTGGATCTTATTATGGAATTAATGGGAGGCAGAGCGTTTCTTGAGTCTGAGATTGTTCAGAAATATTTTAAAGACTTTCGTACAATGGAGGTATTTGATGGGACAACAGACATTGCTAAACTGATGGTAGCACTGCTTGGCCTACAGCACACTGGGATCACGTTGCATGAGTCCAACAAGAAAGCAAGATTTCCATATGATAACGCAGGATTTGTTTTTAAGCGCTTTTTCGAAAACAGATTGCAAATAAAGGATGAACCAAAGCTCACACTTGGATTATTTGAACAGTTACATCCGTCTTTGACAATCGCAGCAAATGAGCTTGAGTATTGTGTTCACCGTTTACAATTTGCAGTAAGTGTACTCTTTGAACGTTATGGTTCTGAAGTAGTTAACCAGCAGATAGAACTGATGAGAATAACTGATGCAGCTGTTAAAATATATGCAATGACAGCAGTCCTAGGGAGATCATCAAGGTCATACTGTTTAGGCTTGCGCAATGGAGAGACGGAAGTGAAATATGCCATGAAAATCTGTTCTGCTTATAAAAAAATTGTTAAACAAGAGATCAACTATCTTCTTGAAGGAATTCCCTCTACAGGTGATATTGTTTCTACAAACTATGGTCCTGATATCTTTAGGCATCATGGTTATTACTTGGAGCACCCATTAGAAAGGACTTATTAAATTTCCCTTTTGTGTAAAGCTCTAAAACTAGGCCCTATTTTTAATAGTTTTCCTTTAAAAACAAGAATTTAAATAAAATCGTATTCACATTTTCCAGTATATTTAAAAAAAAAACATACTAAATGGGGCAAAAATGAATTTTGGTTTCTCCGGTTATTGTTACATTAGGCCTAAACCATAGATAAAACATGGGCCCTCCCTTGTGTTGCTTAGTCTATGCCTAAATTTAGTTCTGACAAGACCAGTTTTGTTTAATTTACTTTCTACTTTTTTTTAAATAGAGTGTAAGGCCTAGGCTATTTTTAATCAATTAAACTAATAAAACATCATTCTTTACATAAACATTTAAAATAATTAGGCCTATTAGAAGATTTACTTATTTTTTTGTAGGCCAGTGTAAAATGTTTTGCTGTAGCTCTTATATATTTTTTAAGCCTTTTAGAGATATTATTGATAGCCTACATGTCTATTGTTTTGAGAACTAAGATTAGGCTACTATTCTCAGCTTTAATTTTCTTAAAGAAGTCTTTGTCATTCACAAAGTGTGAATTTAGAGTTTTTTTCTTCACTGAATGTGGTAGTATATTTCGACTTCTAGTTTTACTTTGCCCAGTACTTTTCCACAAAGCATCAACAGCCAAGACTAGGCCTAACTTATATCTATTCCAGAACCTAGGAATCATCATTGTTGGTGGGATTAAACCTAAGTAAAAGTAGCTGATATCTATTTGGTCTTAAAACATGTAAAACATTATTAAGTACCGGTAGCCTATAGCCTTTTAGATAGTGCAGGTAGTCTTTTATGGTTCTGGTCAGCCTATTTTAAACTAAGGGTTGGGTCCATGTCCTAAGCCGGGTTTTGTTCACCAAAAGAGGTGGCATGCTCTTCAATAGCCTACTGAGTTTACTAATGGTGTCTTGGGAGCCCTTTAGCGATAATCAATTTTCTGTAGGTAATGTTATTAATACAAATAATAGCCCTTAACATTGTGGTTTAAGTACAGTAGGCTACCTAACAATTAATATACCTTGAACAATCCCTGTTAATTTGTTACCAAATTTCACGCAAATCGGTTAGTATTTAACCCTCCCAGTGTTACTTGACGAAAATTCGACAAGCAGCACACTTTGTGTAGTGTTACTTGTCGATTTTTCGACACGCAGACATCGTTTACGGCGAAGGCTCTATGACTGACTGAATCGGATTGAACTGGATCGAGTTAGGTATCGTTCTTTCCGTAATATTCTAAGTTTTCTCCAGAGGTCTGTCTCTAAGCGCTATTCATTTTAGTTCCGAAAATATTGTAGCAGACAGCTGACGTGCGTGTATTTGTAAACAGCTAGGTTCCCCCGGACCGATGACTGATGTGTTTTATTACGTTTATCATTGTTTTAGTGTTAAAAATCAAAAGTAGTGATATACGTGGTGCATTATAAGAAGATTTAAGTGGTTTTGAAGTGCTGGTTGATGATCCTGAAGAAGTAGGTAGTGATATTGATGTAAATTATCAGCCAGATTCCTAGCTATGGTTAGGCTATGCATTCTTAGCTAAACGCTATGTACTGAAATCAGTTTTTTGCCCATAACTTATTTATTTGCAAATCTACTTCCTTATATTATTGTATATTTGTAATCCTCATAAAATTTAGAACAAAGTGGCTATTTTCAAATATTTATAGGCCTATAATTTATACAATTTCATTGAGCGCGAACTTATTTTTTTTTTTGAAAATTTTCGAAATTATATTTTTTTAACCTAAAAAATTTTTTTTTTGAAAAAATGTTCCTTATGTTTTATATATAATATTGAAGCCCATGATTTTCCAAACAAAATGGTATATAGAACATTAGAATTAACATTGTTTTAAACTTCTCAGATCCGTTTTAATAAAACCTTGCAAATGCGCCAAAAATAGGTGGACATTAAGGCCTAAACTATGGACACTTGGAGGGTTAAATTTTTTTGCAACATACAAATAAGCCAATGTTTAATTAACTAAACGTAATAAATTAACAGAAATGTTTAGATATACCACAATACCGCACTGTTTTAGTTGTATTTGGAATATTAAAGAGAATTACTTGTTGCTATTGGGGCCCCCCCAAACATAGCATAGCCTAATGTTGCATAGTCTCCATTAACAGGAATAACAAACTTGTAAATATAAACATTATAAGCTCCATTATAAATTAGTTCAACAGCTGTTTCAGTATGCCAGGTCTGTGGCATTGCCACTTTTGTCTAGCCACGGCCTTATATTAGAGGAGGCTATGAATAAATACAATCAAGCTTATTCAAATTGAAAATTAATTGACCTTAAATATATATCTGTTAGTCATCACTTACACTTCAAATGTTTGTAAAATTTGCAAAAATGATTTCCATTCAAAATGTTTTGAAACGGGAAAGTGCCATGGCCTTCTGACGGCTTATCCTCCCCACGACAAAACCTACCAAAATTTAACGTCATTGAAGTTATTTCAAATCGGAAATGTACGACTATGGCATACTAGATTCAAGTCTGATCTAAAATAGGCCTATAGGCCTGTTACTAATTTAGTGGGAATTTAGAACATAAAAATCACAGGCGTAAAGGCTACCAATGTTTAAGCAACTCCACTCGGAGAGAGGGGTGGTCAGCAATGACATAAAATTTCGGACATAAAAAGCGCCTTTCACAAATATCATTGAGTCTACACTACTCTCAATTTCCTAGTTATCTTATATCTGTTAGGTAAGCCTAATCTACATCTCGACCTTGATCCTGAAAATTACATTCCCAAGCACCTTTCTCTTTATTTTCATTCAGAACAATCTCTATGCTCTTAAACATTTTTATATGATCGGGAATAAAAGAAAGAGACCATAGGCTGATTTGTAAAAAAATTTAATAACAATAATAAAACCACTTGCAAGTGGTAAAACCAGTTTTATTTTATAAAACTAAATCTTTTATACAACAACAGCATTTCACAACAGCTAGAAACATGATTAAGTCGATATTGTCTATGAAAATTGTATTTTTACTTGATTAACTTTATAGACAAAAATACGTACAACATTTTAATGAACACAGATATATAAAAGCCTTGAAACGCTGTAACAGTTTTATCAGTAACTCTCTATTTTCGTTTTACCTAACAGTAAGGTCTCCAAGCTATAGTAAGAGTGGCAAGCCTTTCAGGTTCCAAACAAAACAAATCAGCAGTCTGGGTACGAAACAGAATTGAACCTGACTTTCTTGTTGCTCATAGCTTAGATATTAAAATTAAGAAAGCAATGCTAGGTGATAAAACATTTGAATCATACAGTAAGTTAAAATTATTTCAAAAGTCTAACTTATTAAAAAGGCATACAAAATATTGCTTTCATTAAAATGAAGTTTTATCAAAACTGAGTTTTGAGGTAGCATTAAGGTTAGGCACAGAGAAGTATACAGAGAAAACATGCTTATGGAACAACCGTGCGCTTTTAGCTCTGGAATGGTGTGGCGGAAATATATTAGTACCGAGCAAGGAAGAGCCCAAACGGCTATTGTTTACAACAGCAGTTGTAGCGCACAGGCTCCTATAGCGTGAGCGCTGTAATGGTGAGGAAAAAGAGAGCGGAAAGGAACTTCCAAAAGCTTTTTAACTAGACACGACTTAAGTGTACCATGAAATATTTCCTCTGTATCTTACTTCTCTGTAGGTTAGGCCTTATGTGACACAAAAATATTGCTTAATTAATCAATCAAAATATATTCTAGCCATTAATTTTTTTTAGCTAATGGCTTATCACACACTTATAGTGTTATTGAAGCTGGGCATTGTAATAAGATCACAGATAAGCACTACTAAACCTTTACACCCAAACTTGTAGGTTAACACTTCAAATCCTATTTTCCCCATGCATTTTGAAGAGGTTAACATGTAAGTGGTTGTAACGCTGTTTACAATTCACAATGCCATTCACCAAACAACTATTTATCTTTGCCTAAATTGTTATGTCAACCACAATCTCTGCAATGTATTTCACATTTTAGTTTCATGCACTGTAGTTTCTTGTTTTAATGATTAATTATTATATATAAAATACTTTGTGAACATCTCAAACAACTAAATTCAATGAGTCTGCTTACAGAGAGAAAAGTATTACTTGTTACATTTTTAACTGGTCATCAGTTTTATTGTATAAGGCAGAACATAGTTGTCATATATTGGTTAAGAACACTCATATTTCATGTAACATACAGGAATGATTCAACATACTACTTCATGGAAATGCTGGGATAAAACAAATTATTTAGGTTATACTTTCCTTTGTCTGTTAAAGAAAACTATTACCATTGGTTTGTATATACACTACAGTAATGTAAAAAATGTATATTGCTAACCTAAATTAATAAACATGTTTTCTTTCACAGTTTTGTTCTCATTCACCCATCGAATTTCATTAATTTTTTCATAAAAGCTGTGATAAAATAGGTGTTTTCTGAATAACTCAACAGTTCATAGCCTAGTCCAGTGTTGGACAGAATGCTTTATTAGTACAAATAAATGTAACCGCAAAGGTTTCATGGAAGGAAACAAATAAAAGTGTGAAATGTATATATAACTTTGTTAAATATTAAAAGAATAAAAAACTTAGAATTAAATAAAAACATGAAGAAAAGATCAACATTAACAGCTTTGCTGTATGAAGGTAACAAAATATTATCAAACAATGATCACAGTCTACTGTACTATAATTATATACTTTGAATGTGTTACGAAACATCAAATGCTCAAATATAGCTCAACACAACAGCTTGAGAACCAAAAATATTTCTAAAAGAAATTTCTCAATTAACTAAAAAAATAATCAATTTGTAACAATATAACACGTTATTTAATAACATAAATTATTTGCAACAGTTAACTATAACCAAGCCATCCCTATCTAGCATGTTTGTAATATACAAACAAATTAATTACAACTAGGCAACAACCAAATAACTATTAAATTATTTTATCCTACTATCTTCAACATATTTTATATGTTCTATACAATAAAAAGAAACACTGCAGCTCTTGTGTCATATTTTATGTGTATCTAAGGTTTTTCCAAAAACAAATTTAATGTTTCTAGATTAAAACCATCTCTCAAGGGGGGGGTTTGAACTTGATAAGTTATGAACAGCATTAATTCATCACAAGTTAACAATGATTGAAATAAGTAAATTTAAAATTCAGTTAGTTCATTATTTTGTGTAAACTTTTACTGTTATAGTTATACTATGACAGTAATTTAAAAAAGAAAGACAAATGAAAGATTTCCTAACTTTCCACTATTCATGCGAATTAAATTGTTCCGTACATTCATGATTTTAACTGTGGTTCCCAGTGAGCAAGATCTGGTTTAATTTGAAACTCAATATATGCATTTGGCAGATTTATTAGGCCTACTCAACATATTATTTTGATCGGTAAATGTTGCACTGATGTTGAAAAAAAGTCATCGTCTTTCAAAACGGCATTTTACAATAGCTGAACCAGTGTATGTTTCAAAAACACACTGAATAGTAACTATTATTTTACACCACAACATAATGTGTGGGATAGTTAGTGGAAAACTTGTTTTGATTCTAAGAAATCTTTCCTTTAAATCTGCGCTGTGATCAGCATGCCTATAAGTCGGATCAGCCTACAAGCTGTCCTACTGCTTGTTAACAACTAAAATCTGGTCCCATAACCCCACTTTTTACCCGTTATTTCTGGACAACACCAAAATTGGTCCTAAGTTGCTCCAGGAACACAAACGTCAAGATGGTGTGAGGAGCAAGGCGAACAAAAGCCGGAACGTAGCCCTGCAAACAAAAGTTTAAGTTGATGAATTATGAGTGTTCCATCTCTCAGACTTTCAAGCAGAATTTTCTATCTTCCATTCATTTGTGGAAAGCAAAAGTTTGTTAATACATGACGTTACAAGTGAAAGAATTGGAAATGCTTCAAGATATATTTTAGCTAAGGTTACTATAAAGAACTGTTATCTTCTTCGTACTTCTTGGCTGCCAAATTTCCTTAACTTTTGTCACTGTCTTGCCCAAAATGTGACGCTCATGGCCAGCCTTGTGCAAATTTATTGTGTACAGCCTTCGGCAAACTTCCTCCACCACTTACACACATGTTTATGTCCACATACTGCTTATTTTCATGTGCATACACTTTTCTACAGTATAGACATTTGCTAACTGAAAAAAATGGGTTTCAATATAGGGGTTGATCCCTTACAAAAAATTAATCACAGAACACAATTCTTACTTGGAGGGAGCTTGATTTTCTGTCCCATCGTAATAACTACTCAACGATGTAAATAACTACTGGATTGCGCTCTCAGTGGCGTAGTGGGCGCTGTTTTCGGTCTCGCTTCCCCCACTCTCTACTGGCAAGATAGCGGCGGCGTACCTCACGTGCATGCTAGCTGTCACCCATTTCAACACTTGTTTGATGTAACAACAGTGTGCGGTTTTTTAAAACTATGATTAAAATTTATGAATATCTTTAATTGTACGCTAAGTATGTGTTTTAAATGGTATTGTCTTGTTCCGCTTACAACTGCACCAACAGAGTACAGAAAGGCAATGGCATTTTGTTTTAGTGTAAAGTACCCAATCTAATAGATTATAAACAAGGTGACTGAGTGATTCCTTAACTCGTTACAGCATGTTTAACTTAACTGAAATTTGCTTTTATTTTTATTTTGTTGATAGGGCTCTACTAAAACTGTACATTGTAAAACATAAAACATGCACAATGAAATAAATGCATCCGGGCTTATTTTCTCAGAGGTCAGTCAACACTATATGTTATGATGGTAGGTCGGGTTGATATTCACATCTTGTGCAATAAATCTCTACAAAAAAAGAAGAAAAAGACAATTTGAATTATTATACTCAACTGACTGATTATGTAACTAAATGTAAGCTCATTAGGGCACACGAAGATGTTTTTAAGGTAGTTAAGTATGTTTACAATATATTAACTTGTCAGCTTTGAGCCGTGACTAATTCCACCGGGCGAATGTCACGACTCATGATCAATGGTTCAAGTGTTTTTTTTATAGTAGGCTAGTTCAGTGTTTCGTTGTCACTCCACGACCCCGAACAAGGCTGTGGGTTTTGTTCTTATTACTCCCACCGCCAAGCACTTCAGAGGTTGCGTGACAATCAACTAGTTAACCTCGCAGACATCTTTCCATCGTTTTACATCGCCCTTTTGGCACATGTTTTATGCTAAGTCAATTATGTTTTTTAATTTGTGCTTAGTCTGCGAGGTTATGGAGTAGTTCAAGTGCGCTACGCGCGCCTTTTGGGGCCCATGTGTGCGGTGAAACTGTAACACCGGAAGAATGGCGGAGAAAGTTACCACCTTGAGGCCTCTGTTGGAACTCTGGCCAGCCCCTCTCCGTCCATCTTCAACGGCTCAACAGTGTCCTGTACCTGGATAGAATGAAGGAAAACCGCAACTACCGCAAGTTTTAGGCCTAATTAATTATTGATAACCACCGTCCTGGACTTGGAGATTTCGTTATTTGTTAATTTGTGCACAGAAATTTATTAATTGTTATTCTTTTTAAATTTTAAATTCTTTAGCCTAGGCTACTTGTTGATTTTTTTAGATTTTATAATTTATTACATATTTTATTAAATTTCAATTTTGGGGCCCCTAAATTTTCTATAGTTACCATGAAATGAATTTATTAAAAGAGTCATTAGATATTTCATTGTTGTAATTTGTTAATTTAAAGGTTAAAACTGATTAAATTTTACTTTGACTGAAATTAGCCTATTTTGAATTTTTCTTAAATTAATGTTTGTAAGTTAGTAGGTCAGAGTGGTATCAAAATTTTTTAAAGTTTAATTGAGAGTATTTAATTCATGTATTATTGTTAATTATTGTTGTGTTATTCTTTTAAATGGTTAATTACAGCTCGTTTCTCTCAAATGGCGTGTTGTTCTTGAACCTCCATCCATGGTTCTCATTTTGTTAAGTAAAGTTTTGTGAGCCGCTCCTCGGGCCTGCGCATGGATCACGCTTCCATTTCGTTAGTCTGGGGGCAGGCTCGAGGGCATGGTTCATCTGGTAGCAGAGCGTGGTTAGTTGGTTGCGTCCTGGGTGCCTTGTCGTGAAATTTGGTTTCACGACTCGGATACTTAGAGATGCGATCACTGTCCACGTTCTGTTTTTTTTTAAGAGCCGTGGATGGATTGGTTTCTTGGAAATGTTCTGGCCTGGCAGTTTTGGAAAAGGGCCTTGTTGTGTTGTGGTGGGGCGTAAACACTTTTTATTAGGAGCTCGCCCTTTGGCCGAGGCACCGGGTGGAATCGGTGGTAATGACTTGCATCCTTCGGGAGCAAGAGTGTCAAAAGCATGGTCATGTGTCAAAAAAAAAAAAAAAAAAAAAAAAAAGGTTTGTGTGTACACCCCATCACACAAGTGTTAGGTGTTGTCTAGTGTATGTATCGGTGTATGTTTGTGTGTGTGTACGTTCGTGGGTCATTTGTTGTTGTTTTTTCTTGCGGTACTTGCGGTATGAATGGGCAGGTTCTTCTTTTGGGCCCCATCAGGTGCGTGGGCATCAACGTCCAGAAGCCTTAGGAATTAAATTTCTGTGTTTGTTTTGTGAAAAAATTTTGTTGGCTGTTATTTTGAGTCAAGTGCTGGTTGGGACTCGGTATGGCGTCAATTGTGCCGGAATATTTGAGGAAGCCGGAGCTGGTGTACGAGGTGCGGTCCCGGGGGGAGACTCCTGGAACTGATGTACGCACTTTGCGTACACAGTTCAGACAAATTGCTAGCATGCCTCAAGCTTGGGTTGAGTCTCTCAGTTTGGATGAGGAACTGGAGGCATGTAAAGAGAGGATGGAAGAGCTAAGTGGGGAAATTGATAGTTGGAGTAGTTTGCCTACGGGCTCAGCTAAGGGTTCTGCTATCACACAGCTGACGCACTGGCGTAAGCGTCTACTCTTGGTTTTGGGGCAACCTGAAATCCAAGATGAGGACAAGAGCTGGGTGGAAGCCAGAATTCTTGAGCTGGAAGGAATTTTGGAGAGTATTAAGGCAGGAAAGTCTGTCAAAGAGAAAGTTGAAATTTTTGAAGACAACCGTTCTTCGGAAATTTCAAACGAAGTGCCAAGGTCAGTTGATGTGACTCCAGTGGGTACCCCCCAGGCTCCGCCTACGCCAAGTACACTGCTCCAGTTGCCTGCAAATGTTCAAATGTCAAATGCAAATGTCACACCGTCCCCCTCTCACACGTCCACCTTGGCTGCGGCTACGCTGAATGTCCAGTCCCCATCTCCCTTTCCTTCTCAAGTTCATAGTTCCCCTTCCATCTCTAACGCCTTTGGCAAACTTCCCCATCCCCTTGCCTCTGTCCTGAGTGGTTTCCGGCCGGTGGACGGGTTAGATGTGAATGGTCTTTGTTTTTTTCTGGAGAGTGTTTTGCGCATGCGTGAATACCCTGGCATGTCAGACGCAACTTTGATGGAACTCATTGCTCCATACTGTCTGAAACCGTTGGGGGACAGATTGCTTGATTGTTTGCGCAGAGGCGTCACCTTTGATGTTTTCCATAAAGAAGTTTTGGAGCTTTTCATGCCCCGTCGGGTCATGGAGAAGCTGAAAGTTGAGAGAGTTTTTCGTCCTCAGCAGCCAGCCGAGTCTCTCAGCCAGTACGTGGGGGACATTCGCACGGTGGAAAGGGTCTTGCGTTTGGGGATCAGTGAGCTTGAGCTCATTGACATTGTGCTTCAGGGGTTGAAGCCTGAGGAACGCTCCCGTCTGGTTTTTGCACCACGGCCTTCATCTTTTGCGGATCTGGACAGACTTTCCATCCTTTCGAGATCTGTCCAGGACGCTGATTTTCAGAGAGACCAAGCGGCGGGGCATCTTCCCCTAGCTGGTCATCATGCTGTCGTAGCACCCGTGGGGTTGGGACCCGAACCGCCGCAGTGGCAGAGGCAACCTGTTGTTTGTTTTGGTTGTGGGCAACCAGGTCACATTCGGCGGCATTGCCGTCAAGGTGGAAATTTTGGACGTGGTCCAAAAAACTAGTTTGCTCACAGGAGGAAAATTTGCCCAATCCTTCCTGTGAGGTTGTTGGTGATAATGTAAAGGGCAATAATTTGAAAGTTTTTTCAAGTAAGTCAAATTCTAAGTTAAAGTCAGTTAATGTTTCTGTTGCCTCCCCTTCTGGGAGTGTTGTGCCTGTGACCGAGCCTCTGCTGCGGGGGATTGCGGGCCTTGCTTCCATGGGCGTGAAAGCGGCGCGCTCAACTTGCCCACGTCTCAACATCTTCATAGGTTCCACGGTGCAGAAGGCCCTAGTGGATTCTGGGTCAGCCCGTTGCCTCATTTCCTTGTCCCTTTTTGAAAAACTTGAATCGTCTGGGCTTATCAAGCAAGTTGAGCGAAAAACCCCTATCTGCTGGACTGCGTCAAATTCACCCCTTCCCATCATCTATGAAGCCCGTTTCAAGTTCAAAATTGAACATTTTTCTTGGGTTTGGAGTTTTTGGGTGGCTAAGGACCTTTGTTTCCCTGTCATTTTGGGAGCGGATTTTATCAAGCACACTGGCCTAATTTTGGATTTAGGCAGAGGTCAGTGTTTTTTCCGATTTGCGAGACGGGTATTAATATCTTTTGCTGATGAAATTGGTGGTGGTGCTGCGGTAGTCGAGCCTGAGATACCCAGCAAGCCAACAATTGATCCGTTAGGGCATCTGACTACTTGCGAGGCTGAAGCCATCAGAACCTTGTGTTCTCGTTTCCCAGATGTGCTGACGCCAAAGCTTGGAGTCACTAACCTGTTAGAGTACGAGATTCGTCTAACAGATACCCGTCCCGTTCGCTCTCACCCATACAAATTAGCTCCACCCAAAATGGAAACTCTCAGAAAAATCATTGACGAACTTCTGGAAAATGGTGTCATTGAACCTTCCCGTTCGAGCTACGCTAGTCCAGCTTTTCTCGTCCCAAAACCCAATGGCAAGTCCCGAATGGTTTTGGACTATCGCAAATTGAATGCGCAAATTGAAATCGCCTCTGTGCCTCTCCCCGATTTGCATTCTGCTTTTGATTGGTTCGGTAAGGCCAAGTATTTTTCTGTTTTTGATCTGAATCAGGCCTATCATCAGATTCCTTTGAAACCTGAGTCTCGACCTCTCACTGCTTTCTGCGTTCCGTGGAATTTGTATCAGTTCACAAGAGTTCCGATGGGTCTTGCTGTGGGGGCCCAGACTCTCACCAGACTCCTTGATTCCATCTTTCATGATGTCAAGTTCAAGTTTGTGTTCAATTACCTCGACGATCTCTTGGTGTACAGTGAGAGCTTCGAAGATCACCTGATTCATCTTGAAGAAGTCATGAGTAGATTGAATAGGGCTGGCCTTACCGTGAATCCTGACAAGGTTAGTTTTGCAAAGCCGGAAATTTCGTTCCTTGGTCATCTTATCTCTCATAGAGGCGTCTGCATCGACCCCGCTAGAACCCAGGCTATCAGGGAGTTTCCTCCTCCCAGAGATGTCAAGGGTATTGCTAGGTTCATCGGCATGGTAGGTTTTTACCGACGCTTCATACCCAATGTTGCTGAATTGGCGGCTCCTCTCAATGAGCTTCGGAAGAAGGGCGCCAAGTTTGTCTGGGGTGAAGCGCAGCAGACGTCTTTTGATCTTCTCAAGGAGGCTATCATGCAGCCCCCTGTTTTGGCGATGCCGGATTTCAATCAAAACTTTGTCTTGCAAACAGATGCTTCCTCCGTCGCAATTGCGGCTGTGTTGTCACAAGAGGTGGATGGTGTTAGGCAGCCAATTGCGTACGCCTCACGCACTTTGAGTCCCTGCGAAAAGAAAAGCTCTTCTGTGTATGAACTCGAGTGTTTGGCTGTCGTGTTTGGAGTCAATAAATTCAGACGCTTTTTGGAGCACAAAGAGTTTTTATTGGAAACCGACAACCAGGCACTCTCGTGGCTTCTCGCACATCCACGCCAGCTTGGGAAAATTGGTCGTTGGGTTGTCCAAATATCGTCCCTTAAGTTCCAAGTGCAACACGTTCGAGGCACTCAGAATGTGATTGCTGACACACTATCTAGGATGTACCATTCACCCGACGATCCTCCTTCTGACCAAGAGCAACCGGGTTGTGCCGTGCTCTTGGAGTTTCCACTCGCCTTTTCTGATTTCATTCCCCATCAGCTGAAGGATCCTGAGCTGGCAAAGATCATTGGTGAGCTTCAAAATGGGGGAGCCCACCCCCCATATTTTCTGTCCCAGGGTGCCCTTTGCTGTCGCGCTCGGCAGCGAGGTAAACCTAAAGTTGTGCTGCCTAGTCTTCTAATCCCTATGGTCTTTGAGTATTTTCATTCTTCTCCTGTGGGTGGGCATCTAGGTATCCACAAGACCATTGCGAAGGTTAGGGAAATGTTCATCTGGAAGGGTATGGATTGGGATCTTGCTGCTAGGGTGCGTTCTTGTCAAACGTGCTCACTGAGCAAGCCCGCTCAAAACTCTATGTTTGGTTTGTTGTCATCTGAGGTGGCGGAAAGACCTTTGGAGAAGGTTTTCATTGACTATGTAGGGCCTCTCCCGCGTAGCAAGTCAGGAAATAAGTTCCTACTTGTTTGTGTGGATGCCTTCTCCAAGTTTTGTTGGCTTTTTCCCTTAAGGAATGCCACTGCACAGCTCACCGTGCAGGTACTTCGAACTCACCTCTTCCAACATTTTGGAATACCCGCCACCATTGTTTCCGACAACGGAACACAGTTTGTTTCCCATCTGTTCAAAAGAATGTGCTTTGGGCACGGAATCCGCCATGTGACTACTTCCCCTTACTATCCACAGCCTTCTCATGCTGAAAGGTTCAATCGCAATCTTCGCTCCGCTCTCATAGCTTTCCATGCTGACAAGCAGGTAGAGCCAAATTAAAATAGTGGTGAGGGAAGAAAATGACACAGTATCAGAGATAAGATTCAAACTAGCTTGCTCTATTGCGACAGGAGATTAAACCTTAATTTAGGATAACCTTCTTGCTCTAAAAAGAAGATTAAAACTCACCTTAAAAAAGCCGAGGGGGCCAAGCTTAGCTGTGTAAAGGACCAAGTCCCAAATGCCCTGAAAAACAAGAGAAGTATTAACACAAAAAATACTAAGTGAAATTCCCAAAAGACGTTTACCGGGGACTTTTTCAACTATAAGTTAATTATGGCTTGGTTTTGGAATTTTTACACAATGACGTTATATAAATCTTATCTTCATAAGCTTCCTACTTGAGGCTTGCAAACAATAAAAATGTGTTACTGTATTACTTTAGGTTTGCACAATACCATACATGATTTTTACTTCCTATTACTACCTATGATGTTGGATGGATAGTAGGGCAGATACATTTTTCTATTTGACATTTGGGTGCAAAAAGTATCAATTTACCTTAAAATGTATGTCAAATGAAAGATGAGCTTCTTTTTGTCTGTGAAATCTTAAATGAGTCAATCATACAAAGACAAATCTCTTATATAAAATTATGAAATGATCCAGCTTCAGTTGTGGTTATTAAGGAGCAATTATTAATGGAGATTTCCTACTCAACTGGTTTCAATTGTAAGTATGGAAAAAGTAAATATCAGCTTTTGAAACTATAGTGATAACCGTTTTCATTTATTTTTTTACATTTCATAAACGTTTGGTTCTTTTAAGAGTGGTAAAACATAAATCGATATTACTTTTTACAGATTATTGAGCGGAGCGAGCGAAGCTCTTTGGGATCAACTTCAATGCAAACAATATAACACCATCACTCAATAACGGCTGAACACATTTCAGCCAAACTTAACAAGACTACTTAGACTAATAATGAGATGGTTTGTAAACAAACAAATTTCAATTAGATAATGCTAATGCAATTTAAAACGAACTTAAAATTTCAAATTTTTAACATTAGGCTTATGGGACTAAAGTAGCTATGACAGTTTTTTTGTTTACAAGAAAAATGTAAACAAGAGAATCATAAGGTATTTCTGAACTTTCTATACTTTTCTTTTAAACGTTTTTAAACCATTCCTATGATTTTAATAAACAAGAAAATGCCGTTAAAACATTTTTTTTTAGGCGCGAAATCCACTGAATATCGAGAAAATATACGGAACTACTTTCTCAATGCGCGGAGCATAAACAAGGAGCGGAGGGATACGGACCGGTGACTACTTTCTTGGGAACCTATTTGTCTTGCCAGCTGATTAGAAACAGCCAATGTTAGAAATCAGGATTTAATAAGCGATATATCGAACCGCATCGAAATCGGTATTTAATCCGATAATACCTCATAGGTTATATTATGTTGAATTACATCGACGGTACAGTAAGTTATTACACTTGTTGATAAAACGCAGTTTGAACACTGATCTAATTTAGGCATGTGGGGAGTTAGGTCGGGGTTTATGAGTATTCGTGACTACATTAAGTGTTTTGAAGTAAGGTTAGATTAGGAAGGTAAAGTGTAGGTTATAGGTAGGTGATAGGGTTGTTTATTTGTGTTGCACCATATAATTTTTATCTTTTGGAATGGAATAGTTGGTTAAGGTTAAACGGGGAAACGATTTCAAAAATGCTTGCATATGGTCTTAACTTAACAAACCATCTACAGTATTCTAGCTTTGACTTTATATAAAGTCAATGATTCTAGCAAATTATTACATACTGGCCAAAAGAAAAGAGAACATTTGGATTTGGACATTTGACCATAGCAAAACTAACATATAATTTATGGAATGTGAAAAGTTGTATATCATTATATACTATTCTGTAATATCAATAATTATTCGGCAAATCCTCATTTTAATGGCTTGGCTGAAAATGGAATCTGTATTTTGTGAAACAGTAATTTGGTAACAATTCAGTCATTTCAAATGTTGATAACAGTAGCCTATCCTATATAAATACTGTTTTTTGATTGCCAAGCCACGGACTATACATACGTCCAGTTACAACCGTAATAAGTAAACCTGGGCTTATAGAAGTACACTTTTAACCACGGTCTAGGCCTGTCCAGAAGTAGGCTACTAATTTCTAATTATATTATCTACATTGTATATTTAAGGCATGTCTTCCCTACTTATTATATTATTCTGTTTTCGCTTAAATCAGCTGAATGCGATGTTTACTTATTACTTATGTTCATGCCTACATTTCAGCCATCTTATTTTATTGTTCAATAAGTAAGTCTTTTTGCAGTTTTTACGTTTTTACACATTGAAATACATGACTGATAATTCAGTTTATTTTAGTCTTTTAAAGGCGTTTTACATTTGAGTCTTACATTAAAATAGCCCTACATTTTTCGTAGGCCTATGTTTTATCTTTGACTATCAATACAACTAGACATTCCATCCCCATGTTGAATTTGTAGCCAGCATTTTCATCAAAATCTACTGTATTCAATGGCCAATGGTATTATTAAGGCCAGTATTAAAATGCCGTCGCTAAATCGTCCTAATAATGGCAGAAGACCTACATTCCAGTTACATTACAATCATATCCTCCATCAAGAATACTTGGTATTAACAATCATAAATTATTTCCAGCAAAGAAAGCTGAGTTTAACCGATGTTTATGCTGCACAGTTGAATTTAAATGTCACATTTCCTCTCCTGTTGTTATACAATACTCGTTTTTTAATAGGTACTGTTTTTTATACTTAAATACTTTAACCAATTGTAAGGGTGAAAAATGAAGTCCACCGTTTTTGTTGTAGGCTACAGTTGAATTGGAATGTTAAATTTCCGTTCTCTTTTTTATACTTTTATGCCCTTTTTGAATGTTAATATCAGATTCCAACTACTGTAATATTTTCCTGGTCAAAACTACCATAATGCACTTCTCGAAGAGGTAAATTTGAATTATTATATTATAATTTTAATCTTTAAAACCAGCATTAGTAAATAAATCTATTGACCTTTTTACATTTAGTTACTTATACAAATATCAAATCACGTTTGTTCCGCTCAACTGGCTTTCACCTCTCTGAAAGCAACCCTAGTTACTTTTCCAACAATTGACAAAGCAGAAACGTTTTCATTTTGGTAATCTCTTTTGGGAAACACTAGAACAAAGTAACTGTCAATAATAGGACACTGTGTCATGTTATTCTGCTTATGATTAAGTGTGAGTCTCCTTACCTTGAATTCTCCTGGCTTAGCGTTCATTGCTCTTGTCTTGAGAACATCCAGTGGTTGTGTAAGAGTAGTGGCCACGGCACCCTGCAACAGTCATACCAACATGACAAAAGTGTGCCACTGAGTGATGATATGTAATAGATATTTACTTACTTCAAACTTGACGTACGTTAACGTTTACTTGATGTAGAAAATTAATGAACTAGGTAGCTGCAGTTCACACATATGGGATGTATAGCCTAATTCAGTATACAAAACAAAACCAAAATAATAATGTATTAACTACAAGCCAACAGAAACCTAGGTAATTTGATTACCCACCACCAACATATAGCAAAATTGAACATGTCATTTTTGTTATACTGCAGCGAAAAATGCCGTTTTAATAGTCTATATATGTTGCGGGACTAAAGGATCTCTTTTACTCTCTCTTTTTAGTCCCTATGTGGTATAATTTAGTAAACATGATTATTTATAAAGGAAAAAGAATGCAGATTTAAAATTGGCCTACACGTCAAATCAAACTTAAGAATCAAAAAATATTTCAGGTTGAGACAGGCTGACAAGATATTGGCGCCAGTTAAGTGAAATGAGGAGTTTTTGGGTCGGTTCGGAAGCCGAGAGTGCGTTCGGCAGCCAATGAAAGAGCTGGACGGAGAGACCACGTGTGAGAACAGTAAAGGTGGTGTAGTCAGTCAAATGTATTCGGCCGATAGCTCACTGGGTGTATATCTTTCAACCGCGTGTGGTACCATTCCTCGCATCCACCGGTAATGTTTGTATGTCCTATGAGGTGTTGTGAATGCTCCTAGTGTCATGTAGACAACGGGGTTGTAAGAGTGTAGGTGTACACTCATGTGGTACACATGTGGTAAAACCCTTGGTCAAATATAACACGTTACGCGCCTGCGTCTCAACTTCGAGCTATAGACTGCCGAGAGATCCATTCACAGTCAATCCCGATCGTAGTATGACTGAATCGATCAGTAATCACTAAGTAAGTGGTCAGTAAGTGAATTGACTGTTGATCAGTAATCGAGACTGCCAAGTAGAATTAAGGAGAGGCTATAAGGAACTGTGGATAAACATAACAAGTTTAACGAGGCTTTGTTTTAATTACAATATACAGCGTGGCGAGACGTATAGTAGGTGTGAATCAGTGTTGATAAGTCACCTGAGCTGCCAACTGCATAAGCTTCGGAATCAACATGACAATGAGTGGCCTCAGATCTTCACGCATTAGGCATCAAAAGATCATCAACAAATAATCCCAGATTAATTTAAATTTTATTTACTTATAACTATCCACATAATTTAATTAAAACTTCCAAATCAAACATCATTAAATTAAAAAGAATTTCAATTTCGAATTTTGAATGCTAAACATTGATTTTAATATTATCTATACTTATTTAATACGCAAGCACGATTTTTGTGACAATTACTCCTCCGAAACTACTGAACCGATTGACATGTTTTTGGTGTCATTGGAAAGAGCGTAACGTGAAGTTGTGCAGGAAACCTTCTTTTTAAGGAAATAATTAGAGAGTGAGGCCCTGGGGACCTTTAAAGTTTCGTATTTCTCCATAAGGATAACAAGGGAGATAATTTTTATTTACAGAAACATATGTTTGTTACTTGAAAATAGTCAAAGTCTACTACATAATAATTGCTGTGTATTATGACTGTTAATGTATACTACATTTCAATCAAGGATTGTGTGCCTTAAACTTTACTCATAATGGATCTCACTACTTTATTTTCCTGTTGGGAATAGTAAAATTTAGTTCAGAATAAGTTATCATATTTAGAAAACTTAACTATATAATTGATGTATTTAAAATCACAAATCTTTGACATTATTAATTCATTAGAAACGAAACAGCTGATCGAGAAATCAAACAAATCATCTACTTCATGTGAATAATGTTTTTACACAAATATAGTTTTTTTTTTTAAACCAATAACTTGATTCTTTTTTACTTCTGGGTGTATTTTGAGTTTGTAGTTATGAAAGCACCAAGCCAAGTACATTTTATATAATTTTCTTTATAAACTAACAGTATTAATGAATTACTACATGAACTTTACAAGTTAGGTAATTAACTGTCAGTATGCCAAGGGGAAGAGTGGGTCCTCGAAAACAGTCGAAGGCAGAGGCACCCATCTAAAAAATCCAACTGAGTTTTTAAATATAGAGGTCAGTGGATTGCCAAGACACAGATTATACTAATAAAAGAATGCAGTGGTTTTATTGATACTAATACATCAAAAAGGGCCTCATTAATGGCACAAGGCTTCATGTGATCAGAACGGTTAACAACAATGTAAAGTAGAATGTAAAGTCCTAACATGGAACAAGGGATTAAGGCCATATTTTGATTTTGAGGATAAAAAATTTGCCCGTCTGAAACACAGTTACCTTTTAAAATGGAAAGATGCTAATTTCTGTTATCTTTGGCATTTGCAGCACAAGCACTTTAATTAAAGAGCAGCAATGTTCTTAGCCAGACCAATTTCAGTCATGAGCAACTATATACCGGTACTGTATATGTTGTTTTAAGTAAAGCTACATCTTTTAATATTAGGATAAGCATATTCATTACGAAAAATTCTGACCAGGGTAATATTCCTGAAGGTGACTTTAAGACTAAATCGTAGTATTTATGGAAGTGCTTTTGTGAAAAAATATTGTTAAAAGTGTTTTCTTCAAGCAGCATTTTATGACCCTCAAAATATGCTACATAGGTATATGCTACATTCACTGCCTATTGGTTTGATATGATAAAATGTTTTGTTAAATGTGTTTTTAAATCTCTTAAAAAAATAACTACCCTGTAACACACTTGAACTTGAACACTTATTAATTTACTAAATATAATAGGCATACAGCTAGAAAATGGCTGGATTGCTTCCATTCTATCGCTTTATTATTACTGTATTTAATTTTCGACGAGTCAATATATAACACAATGAATTTGTTTTCTAAATTCATAATATGTTTTTGCGGGGCATTGAGCCGCACAGGTTCACTAGTTTGAATAAATGCCCGTTGTTCTTAATTGCATCTACTTATTTATCCTGATTACCATGTACAGCATCAGACCCTGAGATGTGAGTTAAAAACTTTAAATAGCGTATTGGAATCAAGTAATTACATTAATAACCATTTAATCTAATAAAAGGCAAATTTAATCGATTTTATTAAAAGATACAATAAGCCCGTAGCAGGCTTAACACAATTGTAATAGGCAAAATGATTGAATCATTTACTATAGGTACTTCGTTCACAAAATTTAGTCGCTGTTTTAGTGGAAGAAATCCATCCCCTTCACTTGATCCTACTTTTGAAATAATAGCTCAAAGGCTGAGCCAGCAGCAACGTGTATATTAAGCACACAAAAAACGGCCAATGGCGGCTCACAGCCGACAGGAGAGTTGAAAGCAATAAAAAGTATTTTTGTTTTCTAACTTATTTTTTTAAATAATGTTATGACCAAAAATATGCATATGAATAAATTGGCAAAAAAAACAGACAATTTTGGAAAACCAGCTAAGGCGCTCTATGAGTGGATCATCCAACTGAGGTGTGTTCTTTAAAATGAACAATTTGAATCAGCTGTTCCATATAGATAAGATATCTAACTATCCAAAAGTTCATGATACAGTTTAGAGGGTTTCTGCTACATAGTGACATATAACAAAATAATCTAGGCTATTACAAAATGACGTTCTACTCACAGCTGTTAGACTAGAGAGAAAGTGAGTGCCAGGATTGTCAGTGAAGTAGCCAGACGCCAGCAGCATCAGCTTGACCTGGTCGTAGAAGGACAGTTGACCCACAGTCATCAGCACAGCTCGGCTCGTGGCTGTACTGGCTCCAGCAAACAACCGAGTGAACCCTTCCTCTCGATACACTCGGAACAGTCCATCAAAGGCGTGCTTGTAACTAGAACAGCATATAAACAAATGTTATGTGTTTGTTTTGTTTGTATCATTACTGACAGTAACGCACACTCGGTTGTATATTTTAGGCTAAGAGAAATCAGATTTCTCTCTGTGATAGACCTCCAGATCTGTTTGTTTTGTTTTCTCACAGCTTTGAGTTGTCCTTGTAGCCGTAGCCATGAGTTTCACCGAATGCAACAGAAAGTTTCTGATGAGCCGATGATTTTGGTATTACATTAAGGCCTTTTTTTTATTTGCGTGTTGTTTTGTGCATTTTTCGTGCAGGAATTGTCTTACCACATTACAAGATGTACATCAATGAGCTGACAGATATGATTAAAGCTTGATTGAAGCCACTACAAGAATATTTGGTATGTATATTCAAGAAAATAGGTAATTAATTTTATTTTTACCACTGTTTAGAATATGGTCTGCTCTTTCACTATGACATGCACACAGTTTACAATACATATTTTATGGAAATGAGTTGTGATTTGATTTACGGCAAGTTAACAATCTTTATTACTTTGAATGTGCAATCCGTTGGGTGTCGGTGTCGTAGAAATAAATCTAACCTGTACTCACTTTCTTCTCTTGTCCACAGGGAGTTTGATGTCGTTCTGCATTCTAACGTTCACCAGGTCCGCTGGAGTTCCCACAATTCCCCCCGCCGCACCGGCCGCAGCAGCCATCCCCACTCTCTCCGGGAACGATATAGCCTCCCCATGAGGAGCTACAGCCTGCTTGGCTATCTATAACACAACAAGTGCATTTCATTAGACAAATTTAAGACGTCACTTAATCATATGGATTGAATGGATTAGAAGATCTTAATATATTATGTTAATACTAAATTTTTAAGTAAACCAGAGGAAAAATATTAATCGTCAGAACAATTTTAATCATTGGATTATTTGAAGGAGGTATGGTATGTAAACACTGAATATTTTCTTTAAATATTCATACAATAATTTTTTTCTTACATTAAATGCCCATAAGGTGACGTCATGTCTGTGGGAAATTTATATGTGCCTAATGATTAAAAATTAATAGATGGAAAGTGCCAACAGCTTTCATCTAGTCTAACCGAGAACCGTCAAAGTGAACTGCAGTGCTCGATTCTTGAATTTAAGGTACCAGAACTGAAAACTAGTATTCTTTTTGGAAACATTTATTTTAAATCTGTTAAAGTTTAAACATTCATTTCCCTGGAGGGAAATTTAGACCAAAATTAAGTCCCTTAAAATTAAGTCCAGGTGCTTTATACAATCTTAAGTTTCTAACATGCAGCAGTGTTGTGTAGTAATATATAATTCACCGTAGATATCCATCCCAGTTTTACTTTCTTTTAAAACAAATAAAAAGTCTTGTTTAAGATTATAAATAATAGTTTTTGTGTAGATTATAAATAATTGGACATGATTATGAAACTTTAGGTCATTAATAGGGTAAAACCTTCGACTATTAACACAACTTCTGTATCCAATAGTAAATGGTAAAACTTGAATTTTACCAAGAGATATCAATTATTTTAGGAGAAACTCTTCAAACGCATAAGATTGTAAAAGTAAAATTACCCAAATTCACGGTTCTAAATTGTGTATGTCTTTTGATTTTGCCTAGTTGATTTGTATAAACCTTATAGTCGATGGATTCCAACACATAATAATCACAATCGCAATGAAGGTCAATGGGGGGCAGCCAAGGTCATGAGACGACCTTGACATGTGATGCACTTATTTCTCACCATCACAGACCCAACTGTATCAACATATCACCCGTCGTCTGCTGCTATTTGCAATTGCCCAACACTGATAATGAAGTAAATTTAAATGACAATAACATGGCTAAAAACTAAAATGCAAAGAGAAATATGAATAATTGTCTTAATTACTGTATTAAATTTATTTAATAAGACAATACTAAAGAGTGAAGATAAATTATTATTTAAGCATTAATTAGGGGGTGAAAGAATGCTACGAGTCCAAAATGTTTAGTTAAATTTTTAGTAGACACGTTCCAAAATTGGCAAATACAATTTAGTAAATATTATTTTTATTTTTATTAGTTAAAGAAGCATTGTTTCTTTAAAAATACATCTATTCACACTTATTGTTTATTTATATTTGGGTAGAAACATGCTTTAGATGATCCATTATTACAAAAAAGTGATCAAACTAATTTTAGCAATAGTTAAGTAGAGAGAGATAATTTACAAAGAACATTTCAGATAATGATGGTCCAAATTAGACCAGTAATCATCTCTTCTGCTGATCTGATTTTTTTGGAATTAATAACAAACTCTAGTAATTGCAAACTCTCACAAGAAAGAGGTAGGATGAAAATAAGTTTAGGAAGCAATCGACCTGGAAAAATGACTCACACCTATTTTGGTAATTAACTTAAAAAAATAGAACAATTGTGTCTACTTAATTTATTAAATCAGTAATGACACAAATTAGTAACTTTGGTACATCTAAAATTAATTTGTTTATTTTTGTGAACTTTGGAGACAATAGAGATAAGTAGAAATCTTTTAAGGACTTCTTTCAGTTAGTTGAGGCTATATTTAACAATTATATGTTTATAATTACAAGGCTAGCCAACATACCTCGTATATGCCGAACCTAGTAGTAGAGTACGACAGCTGACGACATAATGAAGCTGACAAGCCATTGTATAACGCCAGGAAACCTTGCTCTCTAACGATGGTCCCCGTCAGCCTCACTATGGAGATCTTGCCTTCCTGCTGAGTCTGCAGATGAACCTGCGACATTTCATCAAAATAAATATTATATCCATAGTATTGTTTAGAGATGCTACTAGAGTAGTGAAGCACAGGCCCTCAGATTTTGGAAAGACAATATATGTGAGATAAACAAAAATTTCTCTTAGTCATCCGGGACGGTGGCGTCGTCCTGAGATCCAGCTACTAGGAGGTCACAAATTGTGGATATTTATAGAGATGCACTTTGGATGTCATACTCCCTGTGGTGTGGATTAACATCCGCACTAGTGGGTACTACGACTATCCGCAGTACTATCCTGATAATTAGACTAATTCGTTAATACCAAGGCAAGAATGTGGTTCGGATTCCACGATAAACTGTAGGTGCTTTAATTGCCATTAGCTGTTTGGGTTATTAACAGCTGTGTCTATGGAATATGTCGGCCTTAGTCACTAACAAGACTACACGATTGTGTCACTCACAGTGGCGGTTCCAAGGGGGGGGCTATAGGGGCTAAAGCCCCCCCCTTGGACCCTGGAAAAATAAATTTAAACGTATATTTCGTCCTTAAAACACGCAATGTCATAAAACAGACATCAATGTAAATTTTATTAAACTTAATAAGCGATGGCAGGAGTAGTATTAAGTTCCACATAGATAAAGTTTGTGGACAATAGCACCTCAATCGAATAAACGCTAGTTATGGAAAGTTGTACGCATCATCCAATTGTTACAGCAGTCAGCTGTTGACATGCTAGGGCAATGGCTAGCGAGCGCCGAGCGCGCAAGCGAGGACAGGGCTGATTTCCTGATGTTTCATCATAGCAGTTGTCAAATTGTCTGCTAGCCACTAACTTTACACAGGCATCAATCAGCAATCGGCTGTAGCACCAGTAGCCTATTAATTACAATTGACTATATGTAAACACTAGTGTTAAAGTTGAAATAGTCAATACTATTACTGAATTCGATAATATTGTGACAGATCTATGAAATGGAGAAAAACGTAAGGTTAAAAAACGTGTCTACTTGCTTGCATGACATATAACAGGAGAAATGGAAGGTTTTAGGACAATTGGGTACAGTTTTAGCCGTTATAAATGGCTTAATAAAGTCACCAAACTGTTTTAGGAGATTTGGCTTCGTTGTCTACAGTAGGCCTATGTTTTGAAATTCATGAATGCAAGTTCGTCATAGGCCTAGTTAGATTTTTAAAATGTCTACACTTACTTATGACAAAGACAAATGACAGATGAAATGGGAGATTTATGGACAGTTGTACACAGATATTATAGACATAAATAATGCCTTTGGAAAATCAGTAAACAGCTTTTAGGAGGATATGGCCGTAGCCCACAATATGTTTTGAGATATATGAATGCAATCGTCAGTTAGTTTTAAAAATGTCTACCGGTACATATTCATGACAAATAAATGGGGAAATGGAAGCTTTTGCACACAGTTCTAGACGTTAAAACTGGCTGTAGAAAGTCACCCAACGGCTTTTAGGAGTATGGCCACAGACAATATAATACTTTAATTTATTCCATTAAAGTATGGAGATTTATTCCATTGTCTGTGATATGGCCGTAGTCTACAGTGCGTTTTGAAGTTCATGAATGCAATCGTCATAGTTTAATTTTTTTAATGTCTATTTGTTCATGAAAAACAACAGGTGAAATGGGAGTTTTTGGACGGTTGGGCATGGTTTAAGGTGTTAAAAATGGCTTAAGAAAGTCACCAAACGGCTTTGAAAATTCCAAATTTTCCCGGGGGAGGACCCCCGGACCCCCCTGCCTAATTTGTGGGTGCTCCACACCCCCCAAACCCCCCGGTAGCCCCCCCCTTAACAAGGTCCTAGAACCGCCACTGGTCACTCATACTACACTCGTCCTTCACTCATATTTTGGTTCAAATATGCACATAGTGCATAACCCCCCCTTTTAACACCCCTTTTAAATAATGCCCTTTTAAATAATTCATATATTTGATAAGTTTTTTTTCTAAAATGAATATGGATGTGCAACTAATTCGTACAGCAGGATCTAAAGTACCACGTTATTCTCTTCTGTATCCTCTTCCCAATGCAAAGCACGGACATGACAGCTAGTCTACTATTTAGACGGAATAAATCTATTAGATAACAAAATTATCAACTCAGTATATGGTAAGGGAAACTCATAAGGAAGTTCTGTCTTAAAACAGATATTATTATCTTCGTAAATGTTTACACTGTCTGTGATTACAAGCTTTAAGCCTCGTTTACACGAGACCAGTAGACAGACAGATTAAAACCTGCTTCAGTAAGTGTATTTCAAGCTACCTGAGTCAGTTATACCGCCTTCCTAACTACACTTGTGTAAACGCTGCTTTGGAAATAAAAAATATACTTATTAGTGAGCAATTGTAAGTATCTCTGATGCTCAGTTAATCAAATCAAACCGGAAATATACAGTATCACACTAGATACAAGTGTAGGACAGATACAGATTTCAACTACTTTGTTTGAACTAACTTGTTTTGTTTGAAGCTATAAATCAAAACACAAAAGTTGGAAAAGTCTTAAGTTTTATTTGAGAGATGAAAGCAGTTGCAAAACAATATTGGTATGCAAAATCTGTTATCAGTAATAGTAGTTTTATCAGTAATTTGAGTGGCAGATAAGCTGAATGAACTTTCAAAATAAGATAAACCAACAAGGTCAGTTTTGACACAATATAAATATATATATATATTATATTATATAACTCCCCATGAGCACTTTGTTGTTGTTGGTTTTCTTTTATTAGTTTAGTTTTGCCAACATTAATGAAAAATGTTTGGAAGATATAATTAAGAGAATTGTCATGAAAGAAATATGTTATATCTCATTACACCTTCTGGTGAAAAAACTATTTAATATAAGATCAAACTAGTGTAATTTAAATAGGGAATTGGTTCCTGTTGCAAATAATATATTCACATTTTAATTGTATATTTTTTACAAAAGCTACACTTCACATTTGCACTAAAAAAACTGGTTAATTTTTAAAATTGTAGAGCTAAAATCATATTTCATCTAGTTAGCTATAGAGGTTTGATTCCATTTCCTGTCTGTGCCAAAAAAACGTGCCAGATGCCAACAATTCATGGCACTGATGAGACAGATGGGCGCAATCATTTGAATGGCACTCCGGCAGAGATTAGAGATGCCAAAGTGTAAAAACAGCTGACAATTCATCTGTTTGCACAGACTACCCAATAAATTATAAGAACTCCCCTCCAAGAAATAGAGCCGAATTTGTTTTTGCTTAATAAATAAGTACTGGGTTCATTAAAGAAACTAGTTACCTGTAATTCTACTTACTTAAATGTTTATTTGCTATATAAACAGTTGACCAAAAGAATTTTAAAATTGTACCAGTCATTTTCATCTTGAGGTTTTGTACAGGAACTTGGCTTCAGTTCAGTAATGTGTGAATTGGTTCGAACATGGTACAAAGACACATTGAACAATGGCTGTTTGTTCTGTCACTCATCATGTTTTAAACGTTCAACACAAATTCAACAGTTTGAAAGATTACCTTTGTGAGTTTAACAAACTTTTCGAAAAAGGGGAAATTTCATTCAGCGGAAAATTATAAGAGTATTAGATCAATGACCACTTTTTTGGAACAAATTAAATAAGACAACTGGATTTAATTAGATGAATCAGTATTGTAATGGTATTTTCCCCATAAGCATTCTAATCATTTTAATTGGACAGTTTACAACTCTATAGTGGGAATATATTTTTCATAATATTTGCTTATTTAAGTCTTGTTTTTATTTTATTTATCAAGCTTTTTTATGAATAATTTCCATATAAAGGACAGTAATTGCTGTTTTGTATAGGTCTAAATATTTTGAGTAGCCTACAGTTTTTTCTTATAAAGCGTTAAATATTTTTAGATGTATTTTGTCAAGGAAAGTATTTTTAACACACAGGAAGTTAGTACCATGATAAAATACTCAGTTTCTCCATAATTTCACAATCTTTCACAAATAACAATTCTAAAATATTGTTGTATTTTACATACTTATACTTTTCATATAGTGTAAATTAAATCTGGGGACTAATATTTCAAAAGTTAAACAAAGTTGAAAACAGTTCACAACAATATAATAAGCAGCTATACACCACATTAGGGATCTGACAGAAGATAAGCTATCAGTGACCTTGACTGTCTTTCTCCATGTTCAAAGTCATTCAAGTCATTCACTTCTTTTTCTGCTCACTATCATCAGCCTGAAGCTTGGTGCAATGTTTAACCTGCATTCCAACTCTAACCCTCCAAATTGTACAGGACAGCGTATAATATGTAGACAGCAAAATTATTTTTTTTACTAAAAATTTTTATATCTGTAATTTATAGAATGTTTTAAATAGTTTATGTATGCAGCACTTTTGTCCAAAATATTTTTGTTATTTTTTTTTATTTTTTTAGAACAACATTCCTTTTACATTGATTAAAGATATAGTTGAATAAAAGACTGTTTTTACAAAGATTGAGTTGTTATATATAATCATCTATAATAATAGATGTCGTAGTAATCGGTGGATATATCCGTCCACGGAGCCAAATAGATAGGCGGATATATCCGCCCACCCTCCGCTATGCACAGAATGATAGCGGATATATCCGGCTATAGTCCGGGAAGGGTTAAGATTAATATTTGTAATCATTAACCTAGATCTTGTTGTAATGTTTCAGATGCATCCTAATGAAATAGAAACCTCTTTAACATAGATTTTGGATGGAAATTGAAAATAAAAACTGTAAACTCTCTAAAACAAGAGATTTCCAACGATAACAGTACCTAATTTTAATTTAAGACCCAAAAACAAACTATGATTTTATGACAAAAGCCGTTAGTAAAAGATATTTTGTTGAGTCACTGCATGAATGTATAGTTCTTGTAAAATATAACTAGGGCATGTAAATAAATTATATTTTATAGGCAAAGAAATTTGTTTTCATCATATTACTGTCAATAACGTTTAACAAGGTGCTCCAATCTCCCTTACCCAAACTTTGCAATTGGCAAGTGGGGAAGTATAAACTATCTTGCACTCTTATGGAGTTTCTTTTGATTTGAATATTTGAATATTGACTTAAAATAAAACCACCTCTTTTGAACACTGTATTATCTACTGATGTAGGCCTGAAGTTTGTAGATTATTTAGGCAATCTTAATAAGTACATTGTCAGATGTCAACTGAGGAAAATAAAGTGGCTTATGGCTTAGTAATGCTAACAGCCACAAGAAAACGGGGATTTAGAAGAATAGAAAAGAGATAAAAACAGTCTGTCGCACCATAAAAGAAGAGATTTCATCCAGTTATCGGCTTTAGCTTGAGTGCCAGCAATCAGAAAAGTAAAAATGAACCAATAATTTCTATAATAGTATGACTAAACTAAGTCCAGGAGTAGAGTTTGTCATGCTTGAAGGATAAAATGTTTAACCAAAGTTGGAGAAAAGCTTTGGATGTTATAGGTCTCAATGATGGCTAAGATAAAGTGTCAAAAAAGCCTATTTAATGCAAGCTAATTTTCTGCAAGCGTATAAATTCTAACTATATTGATCTTCAAATTTTAAAATATTTACCTTAAGAAGATCGAGAGGATGGGTACAACAAGCAGCACCTGCTGAGGCCAGTCCACCGAAGTACCACCTCGACAATCTCTTCTCCCCCATTCTATAGTCTGACCTCAGCTGCCAACAGATGACAGGATAACTTAAAATGTAAACTTGTTAAAAAGAAGTCAATTACAAGTCCATTTGTAGAACTAAACTGTATTTTGAGTAGGCCTAGGGTAATTCAAAATTCTGTTGAGTCAAAATGATTTTAGATAATGATTCAAAAGGCAAACCAAGATAGTTAATTATTTTTTAGACTAAGGGTGAGCTTCTTAGGTTGGGATGACATATTTTCAGGTTTTTTTTTTTTAATTAGGCTACTTTGTGTATACCCTATCGAATCACATCATGCCTAACTAGCAAATGCAATAAATATTGATACTACCAGTCGGTTTTATTGTTAATGACAATATTTTGTCTTAATTACGTAATCATACACTCATACAGTATGAATTTTACATAAACTAAAATGATTGACATAAGCTTAATATCCAAATTTTTTTCCTTCAGGTTCCTGTCTGGCTTTAGTTAAACTCAAGTCATACTGTTTTTTGAAAACATGGACCTTTTACGTTATACGACAACCAAATTGTTTTATTAGGTTAAAATTTTAAAACTAATTATCTACAAATCCTGTTCAGGATTAAGCTTATGTTATTTTAGATTGTTTTGGGTTAAGCACAGAGAGGTAAGAAACAGAGGATACATTCAAAGGTACACTTAAGTGATGTCTAGCACCAGTTGCTGGTGTCTAGAGCAAATTCTATTCGTCATCCCCTCCCGCTCTTTTTCCCTACCTCGCCATCACGTAGAGCACTAACGCTGCAGGAAGACCTTGTGCGCTACAACAACTGTACAACAACACTATGTGGCCATCGCCGTTTGGACGATTCCTGGCTCATTTCAAGTACGTTTTGCCCCAAGAGCTAAAGTGCATGGTTGTCCCATAAGCATAAGTTAGATATCCTCTGTAGCCTACATCTTGCTTCTCTGTAGGTTAGTTTAGAATCAAGACATAACTTAAAACTGTGGGTTCAATTAACTTTGTCAATACATACATAAGTTGAGTTAAGTTGTAATCATGTTAATTACATAAGATTAGTAGACCTAGTACTAGTTAAGTTATAACAGTAAAGGTCCGAAAATTTGTAAATTTTATGTAGCCTACAGCAAATGTTTTTCCTGGGTTTTACAGCCCAGCTTGACCAATTAAACGAAGTGACAAAGTGAACTTGTTTTAATCACCATGTAATGTTTAGGCCCACATTGAGGATTTGAGTAACTTCACCCTCAATTGTTTATCTTACACAAAGGTTCCCCAACCTCTATACGGTAACGTTATTGTAATACACTATGCATTCAAACAACACCACAATGTGATTAGGCTTTAATTTCAAATTAACTAAATACTGTTAAAAAATATAAACGTTATTACCAAGTCATCGAGCAACGTTTCTCCGAATAACTTAATAAATACAAACTCAAGTTAACCTTCACCTGAATTCTGAATTAATAATCTTGTTACCAAGGTCTCGTTATTTCAGTGAGGCACTTTCATTTTTATGAGGCTATTTCTGCTCACATTGCATCAAAATTAATAACATGTACTTAATTCATAAAAAAAATATTTATTAAAGAAAATTATGTAATCTAATTAAACAAAATAAGTTACTTTCGCCGGGTGAAAATGATGTAAACACACACTTACCAAGTGACAGCCACAGCGCCCACAGCTTCGAAGTAACACACACAGCTGATTGCCGATTGTGCAGACGCAAAGACAGTACAGTAGCAGTAGAATAGGAACACTTGGTTCTTTGTAATACACAAATAGAAATAGCCAATAGCAGTAGCGAAGCCAGGTTGCAGTGCAGTGCTGACAACAACACTCTTACCGAGATAATCTCCTCCCACTTGAAATTCCCACTGCGTGTATACATCTTCACAATGTACTATAACTATAACAATGTTCATGAGAACAGCATGAGCAGACTTCTCATTCTCATTTAACAATTGACCATACACTTACACTCCCTTACTCACTTGCTATACTGTACAGTAAGCAGTATATAGGTGCCCCTGAACGGCAGGTAAAATCATAGATTAATGGAGTAGACATCATAGATTAAAGAAGGTCTACTCCTTTAAATCTATGGTAAAATGCATTTGTGCACGGGCACTCCCATATTGCTAAGGATGTAAAATAGTGTCGATTCGATAGGGGGTAGAGTAGGCTATGAGGGTATCTGTAATTTTAAAGCTTTAAAATGTATGCTACTGTGAACAAATTAAACAATTGTTAAAATGTTCCTAATAGTGAAGTTAACCCGTTAATCGTGCGAAGGCAAAGCTTGATGAATGATGGGTAAAAGGTTGAAAAGTGAATGAAGATTTGCGTCTTATTTGTCCTCTCTACTATAGTTTTTGATTACACATATCGATCGCTCCAAAAGGACCTACTCCCAGATAGCAAGGACCCTTGATTCAAGGTAAACTTTTCCCTACAATTTGCATTCACAATTCAAGGTTGCAAATATTAGGAACATTGTGGCTGGATTCAAGGACAACAAAATACTGCCCTTTTTGAGTTCATAGATTCCGCCCTGAAACAGAGTCAACAAAACAACAGCGCGAATTCCCATGATGCAGTTCGACCAAGCGACGCCAGCCAGACGCCAGGATCCACCCCTAAACAATCCTAACCTCTTTGTCTTTGTCTTTGTGTGTCTTGTCAGTTTGTCTTTTTGCGACGTTTGTTTCTCGCGTTATTACTATATCAGAGTTTTTAGACATAAAGTATTCATATTGAAGTTAGTTTTTGTCAATTTTAAATTTCTTTGTTCATAGTTAATTCCATAGTGTTCGATTTTAGAAGACTAACTGCAACAAAAGTGCTTGTGAGCCAACGAAACATAAAGGTGAGTCAGCTAATCTTTTCATTGTATTCATAATATTTTTTCCATTATGATAAGATATGTGTGTTAGAATGCTAATCATACTGACATTAGAACCTCAAGTTACAAATGCTCTGAAAATTATCTTACAACAATAAACTGCCAAATTTGGACTAGGATCCAGAATAATTCTAGGCCTGTGCTTGCCCTAGGCCTCATGACTGGTGAATTGTTTTATAGTGGGCCTAGAAAGTATTGTGATCCGTTGGAATATTGTATCTGGAATTGTTCAAGACCTAGTTACTTATTTTTGCCAAATCCGGTGGGCTACAATATTATGAACACACAAGCCAATATGTAACTTAATGATGCAGTTTTTTATCAGCGTAGATTGTCTTAAGTTATCATAGGCCGAAGTTATGAAGTTTAATTTAAGAATGAAGAAATGATTTTCGATGGATTGGATAAATAGACCTAGGCCTATAGAAAAATATTTTAATTTAGCTTAGGCCTATGTCTTAAGTTATAGACTTGGTACTGTAGCCTAGGTCTAAGGGCTTATCCTAGTCCTATGTCCTGATGCTAGGGTTTTTCGGCAAACGTTTAGATGGGTTAAGATTAGCATCTCTCAAAGATTTTAAGTTTTGTACGCCATACCCATTGATTAAACTAAGTAAAGGTAGGCTACCGTAATGAACTAATTTAAAACAACCTTCTACAAAATGTCACTTGACTGGAGACCTGCCATTTTGGTTTTATGTAGCTGTTAACTTTAAATCATATCCTGGTAACTTGTGCCTATTTAAGTTACTAAAGATGTGTATTGCCCATGCTGTAAGTTGTAAAGTTATTGTAACAAGGTTACCTAGGCTGCTGTGTTATTTTTCAAATTAACTAATTAGCTTCAGCGAACACAGATTTAAAACAAGTGGCTTGCCGTTTGAACAAACGTTACAAGATGAGTTGCCATCTTGCTTTGCATCGAAATTTGCAGAATTTAGAACTGTAATTTAGATATTATTATGAATAACTTGGTCTGTGTGCTGCAATTTAACTTACGGTACCGGTATTAACAATTTTGGAAAAATTCTGAAATTTTCTGCTTTAAATAAACCTTACCATTTGTAGGCCTATAGTTTTTAAATTTTATTGATGATTTGTAATTTAAAACAAAAAATATTAATAGCCTAAATCATAACTTAATATTATTAAAACCTTAGAGTAAGAAAGTTAGTAGGTTAAACTTACTAAAACTTTCATTTGTTGGTCAAACAAAAATTCACTTGGAAGAAAGTTGTTTAAAAAAAAATTTATGCCAGACTTATGGTTTACTTCTTTTTCCATCTTGCTTAATTTAGCCAGAATTTCAGGTTGAACAGAGAGGCAAGACCATTGAACGAGTCTAAACTAAATTTTTTGTACTTGATTCATTTGGTAAATCCCACTGTACACCCCTGAAAACACACACTGACCAATTATGTCTATTCTGTACTTTACTACAGAAGTGAGATTGTCAAAGCTAGTTTGTTAAATACAAATACATGGCATATTCTCTCTAAAAGCTGATTGTTTTGTATTTTTCTTCCAATACTAGCTGTAACCCGCGGGCTTTGCCCCGTTTAACTTCTTAATTTTCAAGATGATCTCGTTCGCATGGCCCAATCACGTCCTGGTTGAAGTTTGTTCGCTACGCTCACTCACCTTTAGATTGGAGCTTGTTCGCTACGCTCACTCACCTTTAGGTTAGAGCTCGTTCGCTGCGCTCACTTGCCTTCAGGTTAGCTTGTTCGCTACGCTAACTCGCCTCCAGGTTGAAGTTCGTTCGCTACGCTCACTCACCTTTTGGTTGCAAATTAGCTGTTGTCATAAATGTAAAAGAAATAATAGTGCTGCACCCTGTTGGTAATCCTTGTAACTTTAATGCTATTAAACATCATAGAACAGAACCAACTTGTTTAATTGAAACAGCTGTTAAGATTCATTAATTCCATTTCTCATAAGGTTAACATGGGAAACTCCAGAGCCACTGGGGCGGAGCCCAGAGGTCGGAGGGTAAAATCCTTTCTTAGTGATCGTCTACTACCCAAAAGGATGATGCCTGCCAAGATTCAGGTTCCTAGGTCTTATGGTTTCTGAGATTTCGTGATGAGTGAGTGAATGAATGAGTCAGTGGTATTTGAGCTTTATATAGATTTGCATAACAAATTCTGTTGTTATTGTTATCTATTATGAGGCGTTTCACTTAAACTGTTTCAGTTGTAGCCAAGAGACTGTTGGCTGAAGCCACTGAATTGAAAGTAAAAAAAAACTGCATCCATGCATGGCTGTGACAAGCCAAATTTAGGGCCAGTACCTAAAAGGTTTGTAGAGCATATTAGTTATAGAACTGTTTATTTCATAAGGTTTACTTTTGTTGTTACAGTAGAACCTCGATAGTTCGACACTCCCTGTAGTTCGACACAGGCCGTGATGACAAGACATGGCATCAGTGGCCGATGACGGGTTCACCAAGGTTAAAAACTAGAGCATTCTTAGTGTTTTCGTGCATGGAAAAACTCAATAGGTAGCCTACTTAAAATATCCCATTAACTTACATATTTTTTAAGATCCAAAGTGTAAAAAGCATGTGACGTAAATTATGAGGGGCGAATAAGATTGTATTTACTGAGCAGCCTACCCCTAGTACCAGCCACGCTCAAATTTCTTCCCCGGGGTGCTGAGAAGGATTCACGGTTTTGACTGATTAATTATTTTAATTTAATCTAAGGTTCAGAGCTCTAGAAGCGCTCAAAAGATCCTGCAGACGCCCAGGAGGAGAGCAATATCATCCTCGCCTTTGTTAAAATGTTATTGCAAATTTTGCCTAACTTTTAGAATAACTGTAGGACAGACGAGTACTCTACCCTGGCCAATTCGATAAAACTACCTACTCGTTTAAACTGTTGCAACAACGGGTTTTAGAATTCTAATAACAAGTCTCGGGTATGTTAATTTGGTTTATTAGTATAAGGAACATACAAGGGTGGTTTTTCAAGTAAGAGCCAGTTTCTGCGTATAAATCCATAATTCGCTTAAGTACGCTGCAGCAAGGCTCCTCGCCACTTGCTGGTATCATTTGTGAACAGAATGACACAATTTGCAGCTCTGTAGCTGACATGTACCTACATTTCGCTGTGTGTTTCAACAATTTTTTAGACTTTTTGTCCCCGTACCCTACGCTAGGCTGGAGCCCGGGATTGTTTTTCACATTACTTCAGGCTAGACCTAGGGGTTACGGCATTATCACTTAGTTAAAATCCATTGGTGATTTGGCGGGATTTTAACCCTGGACCCCAGGAACCGGAATGACCGCGCTCTAACCACTAGACCTGCTCGCTCCCCAATTTTTTAGACTATTGATAATGTCAATGATAATCAGGGCCGGAGAGAGCCATCATGGGCCCCTGGGCTCAGCGATCCCGGGCCCCCTATTTACTTGATTTAGTGTCCAGCCGTCTCCGTGCCGTTTTGTCACACAAATAACTATATTAATAAATGTTTGCTCACAGTTTCAGCTTTAATCACAGTCAAAACAATTCAAGTAAAAAATTACTTAGTGAACTGGAAAACCATGCTGAAATTTTTAACTCAAGCAGATTACATGTACAGAAAAAATTAAAAAAAAATTAGATAAAACATACTCCCTTAGTCGATACTTTATGATTTTTTTTGTTGCAGGAAAAGAGGAGTTATTGGTGCACAGAATAGGAACATCAGGCTGAGGTTATGCGACAGTAAATAATGTATAAGTAAAATGTCACTTAATTTAACTCATGTTCTAATTTTCAAGTTTGTTTTATACTTTATATTTTCATAAAATAAATTTACTATAACCAATGTCACTTGCTACATTTTATTTATACCCCCACAAATAGTGATATTTTGGCTATGTTTGAAGAACTGTTTTGAACTTTTAAACTTTTTGTTGATCACTGAGATGTCTTTTCTAAAGCAGGGTCTGATGTAATTTGATGAGGCCTATTAAAAATTAAATGCTCTCACCCTTCACTCACAAGCTTGGCAGAATAGGCTTATTATTTTTAACCTAACTCAGTTATCCTATACAACATTTAAATAAAGTGTTATAGCATCATTTATAGGTTTCTAGCTGCCCCTCCCCTTGGGCTTCACAACAGAATTGAAAAATTTTCTTTGCTACAAACAGTTGTTTTGCATTGGTTTTGCTTAGAATTTTCCTAACAGCGGTTTGGTAGCTAATACAATTAAACGAAAGTTCTGTCAAAAGAAAAATATGTTAACATTGTAATTTTAAAGCCAGTGAGCCAGAGCCCTGATGGAATCTCTCAAAGCTACTTCTTGTACATATTAAGTGAAACCTATTATGGAGGTTAAGTGAAACCTCCATGCCACCAAGTTCTGAGTACATATGCATGGTAGTTTTTGAGGAATAGTGATCAATGAGTGAGTGAGTGGTAACTGTATTATAATATAGATTATAAGGTCAAATTATGTATCCACCCAAAGTTTTCTGCGTAGATTAAAGCTTAAGGTAATGTACCTTGCGTTTAATATTTTAAGGCTTAACTTGCTGCCATAAAGCAACCAATATTTTGATATCCTAATAGATAGCTGTCCCCGCGCTTAGTAGGCATCATTAAAGTTCTTGAGTTCACAAAGACAAAACAGCTAGGCTATCCACTAGGACATTAAAATATTGGACTACTTTAAGACCGTAAGTCAAGCAAAATTCCTTGTCAGTCAATCACTTGTTACTGTATGTACTGAGTTGATCATGATTATGCTTTTATTTAACCCGAATTCAACAATATATTTTGATTTCAGCCAAAAATCTTTACCTTGAATTAACCTTAAATTTTCAGGTTATGAGTCCTGAATTGACCATGATTTTACCTTAATTTAAACATACTTATACCTTAATTCAACCTCAATTCAGCCTTGATTATGCATTACTGCCAGAAACGTTTACCTTGAATCAACCTAAAATTTTCAGGGTTGATTCAGGTTTCACAAGTGTTCAGTAGGACCCTTGAATTAGCCCTGAATTAGGCTTGATGGCTTGATATTTTAAGATTAATTCAGGCTTGCATCTTTGAAAGTTTAACCTTGATTTAATACTGAATCAGGAAAAAATTGCTATCTGGGCTACAGCTAACTCTTGTTATGGTGAGGGGTTGTTGTGGCTATCGAGTTTAAGTGCCAATCGAGAATCAATTGAACTTGTCATTTGACAACAAATAAAGCAGCAACAGATTCGTTTTCAAACAAACTTACTGAATAAATATCGCATTTAAATCACATTGTGATGGCATAGATAAATTCATTTGTATAGCTATGGCATTAGCTATGGTGAGCTATACTTGAGAACAGATTGATAGATCAAGCGTATCAAAAAAGTACTTGAATATTAATTATCTACAGAGGTTTGGAAGTACAGAAAAAAAACTCAATCTAAACACTGAGAAAATTAATCAACTCTGAAGGGCGTTGAATCCCTCTTAACAGGATAATAAAACAGAAACACAAACAAGACATTTTCAACATGAATTTTAGGTATTAGAGAAAATGCAATAGTGCCAAAAAATGTTATAAGTATGTATACATAATTGCACTGACCATATTATATTTTTTTATAACTGAATTTATTTTACAATCTGTTCAAACCTTGTTTGAAAAAATCCCAAGCCAGACCTGCTCAACATACTTCAATGATCGGAACTAAACATGTTTATGTTCATGTAACAATATTAATATTACTGCACAGTACTTGCATTGGTATTAACAAATTGGTCTTATTACAGGATGTCATAGTACTCATTAGTGCGGACGTTTATACACACCAGGGAGTATATAGCATCCAATTCGTGGCCTCACCTCCTATAATATAGGAGTAGGATTACAGGACGACGCCCTCGTCCCAGTCCCAGTCAGTTATCTTCAGTGTAATCTTTGATCAATAGTTACACTGATCCTTTGAACAACCCTTTGTAGGTACTGTGTTTCGTAACTTGCTAGTATACTGTGATAGCTTGTTATAAAAACATCTGACAACTCTTTTGCTTAATTTTTCCTTGTTGACCTTGTTATTTTATTTTGTTCAACCAACATAGTTATGGTACTTAGCAACCCATAAGGCCAATGTTAAATTTTCAAACTAGTTGTCAATCTGTGCCCATAAGTCCCCGATTCCAAATTATTGAAAATCCTTGGCTGGATTTCGATATATATTACAGACGTTAGAATATAGATACCAACCTTTGGTTAATAAGTCTTAAATTTCTTTGTAATCAAAAGGGTAGAGCAGGACAGATAATGCACCCCACATGCCAATGACTATACGGTTTCCAGTAATATTAATAAGCAAGACCCTATAAGACTCTATTATGGTGAAGGTGAACTCTTGTTTACACCAGGTGTGAAAACTTGTATTTGTTTGGTACCTAGTGAAAACTTGTATGTGCTGGAATCAAATTTGTCCCTCCCACACCCATGTCGAAGATGTTAACCACTGTGCTGGCAACACAGGAACACACCCATGCTCATGAAAAGATTGTTTCACACACCAATTTTGTTACTCATTAAAAAACCCTTATGGCTGGTCCTACTTGAGCGACAAGAGGGGCACTACAAGAGCAAAACAATTGCAAACTAATGTACAGTGGAACCTCGATAACAAGACTCTCATGGGGATTATTAAATAAGACTTGTTATCAAGGTCCACTTCTTATCCAGGTTTACAATAACATGTGATTAGGGGTAAGATAAAATTCAAGGGGATTAGAAAATTACACTAGTTATTAAGGGTGACTTTTTATCGAGGGTATTGTTATCAAGGTTCTACTGCATTGGAGCGTCCATCGTAGGTCAAGGAGCGACACATTGTGAGCGTATTTTGAAACTTCAAATTATTTTGAATCTCGTTATTGTTGTCGTTCGCAAAGCAGAGCTATTGCCGCTGTTGACACCAGCGTTGCTCACATAGGACTCGCCTGTACCAGGTGGTGCTAGTGTTTACAGCGACAGCAGCGCTATCCATAAAATAGCGAAACTGATTTTTCTAGAATAAAGTGTCACTCTCATGTCAAGCCATGTGATGACTAAATCCCTCCCTTGAATCAACTTTTATTCAAAGAACCGCTTCAATGAGATTGTCACTCAACATTTGTAGGTAAATCAATTTTCCAGACTATTTAACTGATTGATGACAATGAATCAGCCAACAAAATACAACAAGGCTAACAACTAGGATACAATTACAACACTATCTGATGGAAATGTGTTTATTCTTGTCAAGACCTACATTGATGGAGAAGCATGCAGTTCACAAATCCAAAATATACTTAATAAACATCAATAAACCTTGGAATGCATACTGGAGGAATGTGCACAAAGGAGAGGAAATACCTTAAATATGCCTTACCCTAGAAAATACTGTGCCGTAAGCAGTATAAAATTGTTATGAAAAATAAATACTGTTGGTGGAATGTCTAATTGCAATTTTCTTATAAAATGTCTTTTAAAAAACCTCATTATCTTTACATAGGCCACATCGCCGAATTACGATAAATATTGATATAATAAATATTTCAAGTCCTATAAAAGTTACAAACTTAGTAAGGGCATACTAAATTGAACAAATATTAGTGGCCCATCTCAAACACTTTTTGACTCGATAGCGATGACAAACTGGTTGCGACCGAGCTACATTAGTAGAGTTGTTACATTTAGAAGCACTTCCTGTGGACGATGGAGGGACCAGACTCGTCGTACTCTTGTTTGGAGATCCACATCTGTTGGAAGGTGGAGAGGGAGGCGAGGATGGAACCTGAAAAATACAAAAAAAAACATTAGAAAACACAAGAGGAACTGAAAACATTGGTAAACTGTAAGTGACGCTGACAACGTTGGTCAATAACTTTTAAGCGGGGCTGATAAAAATTAGTCAATAGTTTTTAAGCGGGCTGATAAATATTAGGTAGTCAATAACAAGTGAGGCTGATAAACATTAGGTAGTCAATAACAAGTGGGGCTGATAAACATTAGGTAGTCAATAACTTTCAAGTGGGTCTGATAAACAAGTTGACAAACCACTGAAGTGAGAAATCATTCATCTTGCTGATAGATATTTGAAAGTTGATAATCTAATATCATCAACCCAAAAGACATGATAAGAGACTAAGACAGAAAAACGACTAGGGCCTAACTAAATGATATGTAACAATTCCACAGAAACCTGTCAAGTTCACGTGTTTCCTCGACTCCATACATCCAAAAAGGAAATTATCGTTCTACTTGAGGTTTTGTCACAGAGACAATGTCACAGAGAGGAAATGCAAATTGATGTGCTTAGACTAAAGCACTCTCAACGGATGAGAAAATCACTCAGGCATGACTTAAAAACCTTAAATAAAACCTTAAACCCTGTTCTTAAAGCCTATTACCGGACTTCTAAATCTTGTAGCATTCTTAGATAAACATAAAACAATTTTAACGAAACTACTTTTGAGACTGGACCTCCAATGAACCTTACCTCCGATCCATACGGAGTATTTCCTCTCAGGGGGAGCGATGATCTTGATCTTCATGGTGGAAGGAGCGAGGGCAGTGATTTCCTTCTGCATCCTGTCAGCAATACCAGGGTACATGGTGGTACCTCCAGACAGGACTGTGTTGGCGTACAGGTCCTTACGGATGTCTACGTCACATTTCATGATGGAGTTGTAGGTGGTCTCGTGGATACCAGCGGCTTCCATACCCAGGAATGAAGGCTGGAACATGGCTTCAGGGCAACGGAATCGCTCATTTCCAATGGTGATCACCTGAAAGATTGAACAAATACTTGGTTAGATTAATAAAATATTCTTAAGTTGTTAATTTAAGTACAAGATCAAAGTAAGGCTGTTGTTCTTTGACCAAAACAGGAAGTTACAGTATACAGGGTGCCTACCAGTTGATTAAACTAAATTTATGATACTTTTTACACATTGTGTAACCAACCCTACTTAGAAACACTGACTTCTAGTTGCTGTTGTTCTTTGACCAAAACAGGAAGTTACAGTATACAGGGTGCCTACCAGTTTATTAAACTAAATTTATGATACTTTTTAAGTGACTTTGAGGAGAGAGGAAGGGCACTTTAAAACACCTGATGAAAATCTGTTACTTTTCTATGACTTCCATGACACGCCCTAGTAAAAATATCAGGTCTGTGAACATTTCATGACTTTAATGATTTCCATGACAGGTACACAGCCTGGTATAATAAAGTAAGCAGGAATTGACGTTGATATGAATCTAAATACCTAAAGACAAAAAACAGATCCAAGTAGCCTACATTGAAATATAAATAGCCTAACTGTGAGTTCCTCCCATTCATTAAAGAACTTTAGTTCCTAGAGAGCAGCATCTTTGAGTGGTTATGACAAAATTAAAATTAGAACTGCATTCCTCGCATAAAATCTTTAAATGTTACACTAAAAGAACCACATTGTTTAAGATGATTACATTTTGATAAAAGCGGCATCTATGTTTTTTGGATAGCTTCCTTTCTTTTAATATTTTTTGTAAAAACTTACTAAAAACTTCTTGGGTATAATTAATAGTCACCTGTCCGTCAGGAAGTTCGTAACTCTTCTCCAGAGAGCTGGAACTGGCGGCCGTTGCCATTTCCTGCTCAAAGTCCAACGCGACGTAACACAGCTTCTCCTTGATATCACGGACAATTTCTCTCTCTGCTGTGGTGGTGAAGCTGTATCCTCTCTCGGTGAGAATCTTCATCAGGTAGTCTGTGAGGTCTCGGCCGGCCAGGTCAAGACGGAGGATGGCGTGTGGCAGTGCGTATCCTTCAACAGACACATACTTGTAATAATATAAGCAGAGGACGGCGTGTGGCAGCGCATATCCTGTAAAACGCACGAACTCGTAATGATAAGTTTATCATTGAAAAAATAGCCTGCAAGTTAAATCCAACATAACCCTCTGAGGTTTTTTAAAAGTTTTAACTGAAAACGTAGAGGTTAAGAATAAAAACTCTTTAGATAACAACACCTTTTCGATATAGGCCTGCCACACCTAATATACTTGCAAAAAATATATGTTATTGTGTAGACATTAGAAGAAAAAAAATCAAAGAAAAATCGCTCGTGCCCACTCAAACTACTTTCCTACTTTAACAACATTTCACTGGCATGGTTTTGTGGAACAAATTAACAAATGGGTATCTGTCTGGATGTGTTACCGTACCTTCATAGATGGGGACTGTGTGAGAGACGCCGTCACCAGAGTCCAACACAATACCAGTTGTTCGTCCAGAGGCGTACAGGGAGAGAACGGCCTGGATGGCGACGTACATGGCGGGTGTGTTGAAGGTTTCAAACATGATCTGTGTCATCTTCTCTCTGTTGGCCTTGGGGTTGAGGGGGGCTTCGGTCAACAGTACAGGGTGTTCTTCAGGCGCAACTCTCAACTCGTTGTAGAATGTGTGATGCCAGATCTTCTCCATGTCGTCCCAGTTGGTGACAATACCGTGCTCAATGGGGTACTTCAGGGTAAGGATACCTGAGAAATGAACGTCATTGTAAGTCACTCATATTGGATTTTATTATCTATGGGTAGCCTAAATGTTATATAGGTATAGCTTATTGAAGCACTACACTTCTAGTTCAAAACTAATCAATTGCGAAAAGAAAGCAAGTAAGTATTTTGACATTGGACAACACGACCAACACATATAGAACTAATAAAAAAAGTTAGGCTACTTGTTAGCTTTTAAATATTTATGAGATTGTAGAAAAATGAAAGGATAACATAGCCTACAACCCTTTAAGTAAAAGAATGGTTTATAAAACAATAGTATGATCTTAGGGATTGTAAAACTATTGCATAAAAGCACCTCTCTTGGACTGAGCCTCGTCACCGACGTAGCTGTCCTTCTGTCCCATCCCCACCATGACTCCCTGATGGCGAGGACGTCCCACGATGGAGGGGAAGACAGCACGAGGTGCATCGTCTCCGGCGAACCCGGCCTTGCACATTCCGGATCCATTGTCAATGACAAGAGCAGCAACTTCGTCGTCACACATTTTGGTTTGTTATCTGTAGAATAAATAGTGTTGATCATAGATTTAAAGGGATTTAAAATTGGTTTTGGTTATTTTATTATTCATAACAAGATGAACCTGCAGGCTAGTTATTAATATCACTAGAAACTCAAATGTTTCCTGAAAAAATGGTGTAAAAATCTTTCTGCGGAGACAAAAATTACTCAAATTACAGTCATTTCATTTTTTTTATATTTTGTCCTACAGGAACATTATCCAACACGTCAATAATTGCATTTAATTTTAAAGTAGGCCTAAATATAGGTAACTTGCAACCCACACTTGCAGGTAAACAGGTTAATTTAACAATATGAAATATTTGATTAAAATTAAGATTCATTTAAACATCTGTTGGTCGGACAGAGCCTATTTGATTTCATTCCTGGACTGGATTAGGAAGATTGAAGAAGGAAGACATTTTGTTTGGTTTTCTCTTCACTTCACTGCATAGCTTATGCTTAGGTTTTCACCATGTAACATGTCCCATTTATAATCAAGTACTGTATTGGCAGACTTAAGAGTCCTTGGAGCCTAGACGTTCTTAAAAATAAAACAACTAAAAATCTGCTAAAAAATGTATATTCTCATAGTTTACCAGATATTTAAACTACAATCACTTTGGTAATTGAAAAAAATATTTTTCAGCAGCTGTTTCAAAATAACTAAATTAACATTGCTCTTATGGTGGGCAAATTCAAGATGGCCATTGGCTTCCATGTACTCCCTTGGAAATAATTCATCAAAACATGAACACAAATTTCTAATCTCATAGCTTACTAGATATTTAAATTATAGCCTAATCAATTTGGTGAAAGTTTGAAAAACCATTTTTAGGTGATAGGCCCAATTAACTCTTCAGCAGCTGACTTGAAATTATCGAAGATGGCCGCCAGCCTCCAAGGACTCTTAACTAAAGCATAGACTAGCCAATCATTAATCAATGTGTTTAATCTATGACCAAACTTCTTTGATAAAATAGAAACATTACAAATTGACAAACTTCTTTGGTAAAATAGAAACATTACACATTGACACTGATCTAACCTTACCTAACTCAAGTCATTTAAGACTTTTAACTCGGGTGGCAAGATGGCAAGATCTACCGGGGGACCTGGGGGACAGGGGGTCCGGGGGAAATTTTAAGAAACTGGCTTTAAATTTGTTAGTTTTACAAGCTTTTTCAAACTATTTTTACAATTTTATTTTTATTTTTATGTCTGCGGCCCCTAGGCAGTTGCCTATTGTGCCTAATGGGTAATCCACCACTGATTATGCCGATTCATGAATGTATTAAGTCCTTTTATTGAAGGTTAAATTAGGCCGGGCAAGGTTAGTTAAATATAGCCTAATGAACCGAGTTGTTGAATTGTGTTACCGGTACTTCCAAAATGTTTTTGCACTTTTGAAATTCCTAGTGGTTTAAACACAATAATTTAAAAATGCAAACATTTTTTAAACTTTACTTTCCTAATTTAAACTTGACCCAACTTCATAACTCTGCATAGAGCCCGACCTACCTTCCTCACAAGCCTAAATAGGAACTGATTAGTTTACAATAATATATGATCAGTCGCACTTATAAATTTCTTTATTTAACTGCTTCATTTATATTATCCTAGGTTACTTCTTCTTTTCCTCCATCTAGCCTATCCTTATTCCTTAGTTAGTAATTACAAATTAGGCTACAGTAAGTAAAGGCAATACAGAGGCAAGCAGACAAAAAAATAAACTAAATAAAATTCAAAAGATTAGAACCTATAGGCTAGGCCTAATTTTTGTCACAGTAGGAAAATGTTTACACCATTGTTTTCAGGTAAAATATCTAACTTAAATTACTTAGTTTCTCGTGATACCGGTATCCCATGGTTACCATGGTCACCTTCTTTAATTGTAATTACCTTGGTGTTTATCTGTTTAAAAGAAATAAAGGTAATTATTCCGTATCGGTGCCTCCAAACGAATTTTTAATTTTGATATCTTACTTTATAGTTTTTTACCTCCTGAATCCAAATATACCATTATTTTTCACAGCTGATGAATATTTCTCAAGATATCGCCGTAATAATATACAACACTAGCTGAATACCCGTCCTTCGTACGGGGTTGGCGTATAAGTACAAAATGCTTATTGCAGTTATACTAATGCTTTGTGTTTGCAATGGAGGAGGACACGGTTTGAGATAATTTGGTTCTTTTAATTTACGGAAGCTATAGTATAGCACATATACCATAGCAATAATTTTCTACCACTACACCCAAACAATAAAAAAGTAAATTATCGAATATTCGCACAATATCAAAACATCGGTTGTAAATTAAAAACATAAGCTTAACTGTAAACAATCCTACTTTAACAGTTCTCATTGTGCATCACAGCTTCAAATTAGCTATGTTGTCATAGATGAAAAAAAATGTATAAGTGCTGCACCCTGTTGGTGAACCTTATAACTTTTAATAATATTGAATATCATAGAATAACTTGTGTAATTGAAACTAACAGCTGACAAAAATCCCTTTTAAATATGAATACTCATAAGATTAACATGGGAAACTCCAGAGCCACTGGGGTGGAGCCCGAACGGATTTTTGAGATACGAATACGTCTATATGTTAATCGGGAATGTGAGCTATAATCATACCAAATTTCAGCCCAATCCGACCAGTAGTTAAAGCGTGATTGAACTTCAAACAAACAAACACACAAACTTTCACATTTATAATATTAGTAAGATTACAATAAATAAGGTAGGATGGATGACATTTACAAGTGGAATGAACTATGGGTTAAGTAAACCAACTAGCTGATTCTTTTCAATCATAGTCAAGCAAATGGAAGTGACAACTTTAATTAGCTAACTCTGATTCTGCAATATGAAAATCACCTGATTAAGTTACACTTTTCACTTTCTAAGACCAATAAGTTAATAATGTATTATTGTTACCAGTATTTTATCCTTATTAATGATTTATTGATTTATATTTCGTCGTTTAGAAATTACACAATAAAATGGTGCTATTCTAACATAACCTAACCTAACCAAACCTCAAGAATGTGTAAGCAAACTCCTTTTGATGACAGAAAAGGCATGTCAGGGTGATAGGTCATGCATTATGTGAATTGGTGACTGCATTAAGTCCTTTGAAGGTAGGTTAGATTAGGTAAGTTAAAGTTTAGGTTATAATGTATCAAGTTGTTAGTTTATGTCGTCTGCAGACTGTTTATGTAAAATTAAAATCCTGAAAAAAAACTTCAAATTTCTACCTATTTAAAAAATGCAAGCATTTTTGAAAAAGTAATTTGAAGTGTTTTTCTCAGGATTTTAATTTTACAAAAACAGTCTGCAGGCAACATAAACTAACAACTCAAACACTTCAACACTTCAAATTACTTTTTCAAAAGTGCTTGCTGGTAAAAATGTTTACCAGGTACATTATATTGATACTGTCGTGTCCGTTGAAATGTCCTCTATCTGTTAACATCATCGTTAATATTGCTTGCGGACGTATTTTTCCCCAATACGGCCAGCAATAGATTTGAAAGGGCGCGCGCACAACTTATTGCTGGTTTTACCCCCCCTAAATTACTCCCCAGGTACATGATGTTGATACTGTCGTGTCCGTTGAAGTGTCCTCTATCTGTTGGCATCGTCGTTATTATTGCTCGCGGACGTATTTTTCCGCAATACGGCCAGCAATAGATTTTAAAGGGCGCGCGCACAACTTATTGCTGGTTTAACCCCCCCTATATTACCCCCGAGGTATATGAGGTTGATACTTTTGTGTCCGTTGAAGTGTCCTCTATGTTTTGGCATCATCGTCAATATTGCTTGCGGACGTATTTTTCCGCAATACGGCCGGCAATAGATTTTATCGGGCGCACGCACTACTTATTGCTGAGTTTACCCCTCTTAACTTACTCCCCAGGTACATGATGTTGATACTGTCGTGTCCGTTAACCCTCCAACTGGTATAAGTCGCGATCGCGACTCAATTACGTCACGCGATTACTGGTAAGATCGCGATCGCGACCCATTTGCAAGCGTTATGTAAAACACAATTTACTCCGTTATTTTACGTTTAATATCTATGTATTTTATATAGTATTAAAGAGCAAACACTGAGCAATCTAGTCATCATATGTTTAGTTGCATTTGTTGAAAAAAAGGAATGTTGGCAAGCCTGTATTTCAGATGATTGTTTGTGTTCGCTTGCGTCGTCGAGTCTGCCGCATTTTGTTGTTAACCCTTTACTTTGAATGCTTTAAAATGAATATTTTAGTGAGTTGTGGTGAGTTTTTAACTTAAAATGAGTGAACTAAGTAATTCTAGTGCAATTAGGGCCTGTTTGAATGATGCTGAACCAATATCTGACCTACAAAGTTATGTATTCAGTGAAAATGAAAATGAAATTGATGACAGTGATGTGGGTTCAGATGTGTATGGTTCTGACATATCTTTGACTGATTTTTCATCTGGGAGTGGGGAATTATACTTTCCAAACAGTGAAGATGAGAACTCAGATACATCTATTACAGATTTTGATCTTCCAAGACCTAGGCCTAGGCCTAATGAAGTAGGCTTGCGTAGGCCGTTGCCAAGTTCTCCAGAACACTCAGATCCAGATGACCCTCCTATCCCTGAGGTAAATAACCCTTTGAACCAACCTAATTATACTCTGCCAGGGCCTAGGATTAGCTCGGGTGTACACTGGGTTAGGGTTTACCCACCTGAACAAATGTTTGACGTCACAGAAAAATTTCAGGTACGAAATCCAGGTCCTCGAAATCTTCCTCCCCGGAATAGCAACCCTATTACATATTTCTATCTTTTCTTTACTAATGTTATCTGGGGTATGATGGTGAGGGAAACAAATGCTTATGCAAGCAGACAAATAGAATCAGCTATAAATGGAGGTACATTGACGCCAAACAGTAGACTAAGAAGGTGGAAAGAAACCTCTATCAAGGAAATGAAGCGTTTTATGGCCCTTCTTATA